GTAGGGTCTTAAGGTTTTCCTCCCCCCTAATTTTGTGATCAGACATATTTATGTACAGTAGCAGAAACATCAGTCTGGCATGTTTATACTAAAAAGATGAAATGTAATGTGTTTGTGCGAGTCATTTGAGGCTCCTATGTTAGTTTTGTTACTTCATATTCTGCAGTGGTGTACACTGGTGTTTGAGGGGCAGGGGCACCCCGGGAAATTCTGTGCATTTAATACCTAATATTCTAAATTGTTAAAATTTTCCTAAGGGAACCTTCCTGAAAGTAATAATACTTTTTTTAATCTAATCTAACCTAGTCTAATCTAATTTGGATGAATATTTCTGTGATATTCACTTATCAAAATTTAATCATCTGAAAAATGTTTTAACCATATCATGGAAAATAAGTTTAAATGACCAAAAGGTAGCTTGTCATGTTTAACCTGTTGGATGGGCATCTACATGTAACTGTTTTAATGTTTAATCTATTCAGGGGGCAATTAGGGAATATTTTTAAAGTATTATCCAGTACAGGGAAAATAAGTTCCCAAGAATTTACATTTCATATTACAGAAGGGCATCCAGGTTACCCAACTACTGTAAGGGCGACTCAAGCACTCTTTCTTCTTTTATACTCTGGGAGGGAATCCAGAGGGCCCTGTCCTCAGGGTTTCAACACTGGAAAGGCTTCTAGAGGGCAGTCTTTCAACATTTCTTTAAACTGGAAAAGCATCCAGAGCATGAAGGGTCATCCAGCAGACACTTTCACTATGTTTTGTTTACTGAAGTGCAAAGAGAAGGCATTATTAACTGATAGAGCATCCAAGGGGAACTTTATCCATATTTAAAGAATGAAAGTGAATACAGAAGGCACTTGCTCCATAACTTTTATTACTTGGGGGGCATCTAGAAGGAACTCTGACCAAATTTCAAGTCTAGAAGTGCATCCAGAGGGCACTTACGTATTGGATGAGAATCTAGACAGCAATCTTCTACCTTTCTGTATATGAGAGGGGAATTCAGGGGGCACTTTCCCCCTTATTCTCACAAGAAGGGCAGCCAGAGGCTACTTCTTTCAGGTTTAATAAACTGTCGGAGCTACCAGTAGACAGATTTTCAAGTCTTGTCAATCTAAGTTATGTTTTTGATCTTCCTTGGTTTAGATTTCTTTTGTTTGACCAGAATATTGGTTAATTAATCGATTGATTAATAAGTTTGCTAGGTTTCCCACTACACTTAAATGAATATTTTTTTATTCCTGCAGTAAAAATCATTTAAGAAACTTATTTCTGTTTAATTATTGTATGGCCATTTGTTTACTTTGGATCTGATCTATTGGTTAAATAAATAAGACGATATAAAATAGACACACTTGTGTATAAATATCTCAGTATTTCAGACAGTTTGACACCACTGTGACAGCTCCACTCATCACACCTGTGGCCTTTGTATCAACAGAGAAAAGCATCTATAGATCCTAAAAGGCTCTCGATTCATTCAGTGGCTGGCAGCCGTCATTATTCTCAGAAGAATCCACTTTGTCACTTCTCCATTCTTCAAGAGCTCCTGCCTCGGCCTGATGAATTATGTTGTGTGTATCTTCCAAAACAACGCCCGCTCCTGACAGGTACACAACACTTTACATGATGGTTCTGACTGCCTGCAGATCTCAGCAGGGACACGCGTGTCAACAAGCGATTGAATTGAACTCTCTGTCCATGATGAGATGTCTCGGGTGATTTTAAACCTTCACTTTCTTGTCAAACCCGTCATCGAGGACTAATGTTTCCACAAAAATTTAAGGTGCTATATTGTATAGCTGTCAAACTGTTGGCAGCTGAGAAAAGTGAGTCTGCCACCTCAGGTATATTTATTTGTTATGTGAAAAACAGGACAGGCTTGTTTCTGAGGACACCTCAAACTTCACACAGCATCAAGTTAGAGTCTCTCAAACTTAGGAGAAAGAGCAGGATCACCCAACAGCAGATAAATATCATGCTTGAACACTGCAATGTTGAGCCACACTCCTTAAAACAAGCTGTTTTAGTTCAGAGAGGCTGCAAAGGGAGCAGTAAAGAGACGGCATAAGACCATTCACTGAATCCTCGCTGCCAGCTCAGGCACACCTGACACTCGCGTCAAAAGTGTTCAAACTCGTCCTGTACCTTCCTTCCTGTGAATCTTGCTGATGAATAACATTTCATTCATGTACAGATGTTACTCCTCAGAAGAGCAGCTTACAGCGACTCCAGGCTTTCCATGTTGATTATTATGAATGGATAACAGACTGTACCGTGTCATAAACACACTTTGGTTTAACATCAGATTTGTGCAGCTGCCTTGTTCACCTGCAAATGGTGATGACACAGAGCTAATTTGTTTTGTGTTTCCTTTAAAGGAAAGAAGTTAAAGGAAAGTCAGAGGACAACAAATAAAACAGAGAGGCTGTTTGCTCCTTTATGAGCAGGTATAAACTGAATTATTAAGGGGGGGTTTAGACTCTATATTTACTCTCTGATACCTTTTTAAAAAGATTAACATAATTTTCAGGTTAAAAAAAGCCTCCTATTTCTCACAGTGGCGTATCAAAATCATTATTTCAGCTTTGTGTTTTTGCTGATGTCTCTTTAAGGCCCTCCCTCCACAAGCCCACTGTCTCCTGATTGGCCACATCTTTTCGGGAGGTTTTCCGTAAGCCTGTGTTGGTTAAAGTTAACATATACAACTAAAGCCATATAAAAAAAAATGATGGAAAGTAAGTTGTAATTCTCTGTATTAAATGGAGACAAAGGTTCGAGGTGAATTGAATGAACTAACGGAAATAAAGAAAACTGTGAGGGGATCTTAACCGAGCACATTTGACTTATCAAATGGAGCGCAATGTAGTTTGTCTGAGTAGACTTGCTGTATTTTTACATCTTCAACAAGCCGATCTAGCAGTCCAAGCACATCTGGTACCTACACCGACTGAGGGAAGATCTCGATCTTTTGGCCCTGCTCCCGCTATTGTGGTCGATCAGGAGAGCCTATAATTCCTAAGTCAGAATTTTAGTAATTTAGAGACTTGAGCAGTTTACATCTATTTTCTAGGATTATGACAACATACATTTTTCTTGTGATTCAAAACTTTGCATACATCTAGTATGGACACTGAACTTTGTAACTTTGCAGTTTTTGTTGTAAATGTGAAAAAGCACAATACCCCCACTTTAAGTGGAGGTGACTTATTTAGAAGAATCTATCATATTAGTAACAATTCAAAAAAATATCTATCTTGATACCTTTGTCTTTCTCATCTTCAACTTTTGGTTTGTGACATTTCTCAGCACTGCTTCTTATATTTTACATAACATGCTGTGCCGCTACACTCTATTGTTTCTCCGTATAAAAGCCTCAGGCTGAAGTTCAGGAGCTGCACACGGTGGGAGCGTGTCAACTTAATACTGATAGTGGAGACTTAACTCTGCCTTTTTTTTTAACCAGGTTTCTCAGTAGCTGAACTAAAAAGCTAAACTCGATGTTAAACCTCAAAGTCTAATCAAGTGAAAAATAGACATGGTTACAGGTGTCATGCAGGAAAAGTCATATTAAAAGAAGCTAAAAGATGCAGTTAGATTGAAGAACAAGTTTTTGATTTCAGACTCTGCATCATGGATGTATGTTAGAGTTCATTTAAATTGTTTTCATAAACTAAGCTAATGGCGTCCTCTTATCAAATCATCTAACTGGATTTCACACATGCAAAAAATACTCAAATAACACAAGTTCCATCCAGGACATGGAGTTTATTTTACAACTGAGAATAAAAGGTCATTCTGAATATTTGGGAGGGTGATAAAACCTGGAAATCTATTTCTCAGTGAGATTTAATTTGAATGTTATGTATAGTACCATACATCACAGGAGAGGCTAGTAAAATTTTGCCTTTTTATGTAAACCACATTGAAGGACCAACTTTCTACTAAAAAAAGGACATAGTGGTCCAACAATATTATGTAGTTTTATACAATTCCCCCACATTTGTCTAGAAAATAACATTATAAAAATGCACACAGTACAAATTATGCTGAAATGTAAAGAGCAAGATATGTTGACATACATGTGTACATACTTGCCATTATTCATACAGTAAGTTTAATCAATTTTACAACTGTAGCTTCACAATAATAAAATTGGTAGCCTACAAACGCAAATACTGTACATGTTGAAACAGCCAGGAAATTATATTTACCACAGGAACACATATGCTTACCATTTTTAAGATTTTCTGTGATTTAATGTCAAATAAAGAAGTTTCATTAGTCCTCCAAGCTTTTTGATCGAGGGAATCAAGACTCAAAGGGGGTAATGTGTCGGGTTTTTACCGACATATTTCTTCATCAATTTACACTTTCTTAAAGTGCTAAACCATCTAAATGATTCTGAACTTCATATTCCACATGGCTGCTCTCATATCCATTTTCCTTCACATAAACAACAATAGATATTCACACTTTCTTTCTAACAGGGATACCCGTTTTTCTCATCATGGTTGAACTTTTATGAGACATAATATGCTCACATTTTACAAAAACATGCAAAACAACAAACTTTGTCATAAATAATATGCAGGTTGAGTTGGATTTATTCATCTAAAATAAAAAAAACCTTCAAAATCAGCCAAAATAAGAGCATGGTCCAGTTTTAAAACAACAGATGGACGTTTCCCAAAGGCTCAGATAAGATGCAGTGCATTTGAAAGCAACAATCAGTCAGTGACTACATAGTGCCAAGGTTGTTGCACCAAGTTTGTGTTCATGTTACCAAAAAGTTAGCTTTGAGCCTCAGCAATGCAGGTTCCTGTCAGTCAATGATAGGTCAGTTAATACAGTATGTGGTATTAAAGCTACCATATTCTCATTACAATATGTGTCACAACAACGCTCAGTGCAGTTGTGGCACTATCTACAATGACAGATTGTAGCTTAGAGATATAGTGCAACAGTAAACTGTCATGCTATCAGCTTCATTTTCATTGTTTCTCAAACTTTTCCAGCTCTTTCACAAAAATAAGATGGTCCTCTGGCGACTTTCCATGTGTTTTGCAAAGGTGCAATTTGATTGCATGTTTGCTGACAAATGTCCGATTGCACAGTTTGCACTGATATACTGCGCCAGAGTCTTCCTCAGTAAGTCCAGAGGAACTGAAATTCTTGTCCTCTATCCTGCTGACTGCTTGCTGCTCTAATAAATCTGTGGAAAGCTTTGACAGGTCCTTCAAGGTAAACCCAAGGTGGGTCTCCAAGTGGTGAATGTAAGAGGAAGGAGTCCTAAACTGCGAAGCACAGTCACTGCACAGAAACAGCGGTTGGCCAGATTCAATATTTTTGAGGAACTTGGTGCCTCCTGTCCGCTTTAGCTGGTATTTTACATTGGCGAGCCAATGGGAGATAGTAGTCATGGAAAGACCAGTAAATTTACAAATATGAACCCGTTCTTGGGGCCCTAAGTCACTGATCACTAACTTTCCCTCTGGAGTCTCCCGTAGACTGGAGACAAACTGGGCCTGCAGAATCAGGAGGTGCTGGGGGTTCCAGTTGGACTGTCGGCCTTTCCGTCTTTGGATGGGAGACAGATCCTCTAAACTGTCCTCAAAAGTACAACCATCAATATCTGATTTTTCAGATAAAGAAGAAGGGGTGGTAGACTTTGGTGTCAGACGGCCCGTCAGATTTTTGACCATGTCTGAAATATCCATCAAAGCATTCTCCCGCAAAGGCAGGGGTGAAGACTGGGAGAAGCTTTTGAAAGCCAGTTTGCTGTTGTTTATGCTGCCGTTGCTGTTTGGTGTACCAGTACCCTTAGGTGTACCAGTGTTAGTGTTTTTGGATTTGGTCAAGTCCATGGGCTGATCATCCTCTTCATGGTACTGGTTCACTTGCTCTGTGGACTTTATCTGAGTCGAGCTGTTGTTCATCTTGTAGAGCATTGCAAACGGGTCTATGAAGGGGGTTGCTACTTTTGCAGCTTTACCAAGGTGATTGTTCATGATAGACTGCAGAGCACTGAGAGGATTGACAAGAGGTTGTTCAGGCGAGTGATCCGTGATGATACTCAAGTTGTTGCAGCCGTTGCTTACGGGCCTTTTTGGTGATTCGGCTTCACTCTTTATCTGCCTCTCTGTTTTAGTCTCTGTCTGCTCTTCTCTGCTTTTTGACTGGTCCTCTACTGCGGTCGTATTTGAAACAGTATCTGGATCAAGTGGAGCCTGTTTGTCCTTGGAATTAGGCAGTGGAGACTTTGGAGACCTGTACTTACTCTCAACCAGATTTTCCTCTTTTTCACTCTTTACTGAAGTCTTTCCTGTCACTTTCTCAACAAGCTCTTCCATGGCCAGCACATTACTTTTATGACTTGGAGGTGGAGAGGGGCTGTTTGGTGAATGGATCAGAGTGCCAATATCTGAGGACAGTACCTTTAGACTGTTGCTACTAAACAAAGGTTGAACTGATGCACATGATGACACCGTAGACTTTAAAGATCCATGTAGCTGATATGCGGCATGAATGCTGGGGTATCCACCCCATGTGGGTGTGCCAGTTTGGGCCTTGCTGATTGCACTTGACACTGTATTCTCCAAAGACTTCAGAATGTCCAAGCCTCCTTTTGGCGTCTCTTCCAAATCCTCTTCTCGTAGATACTGATAAGATCTTGCCTTTCCAGGTTTCTCAGTCTTTTCTGTAACATCTTCTTTCTCCTCTTTAATTTTTTTCTCTGACACTCTGACTTCCAGGTCCTCTTCCTCTGCCTCTTTATCCCTCTTTTCTTCACTTCCTTCCTCAGGACTTACAGGCTGCAGTGGAGATTCAGGTTGTGACTTCTCATTTGGCGCCGGGAGTCGTGTGGTTGTCGGTGGTAAAGGAATTGACTGAATTTTTTCCTCAACAACAGGGTCAAAAACTAACTGCTTCCCTTTTTTAGAGGCTGAATTAGTCACTTTGAGAAAGTGCCCTGTGACCATCATATGAGCTGTCAGCTGTTGCAAGGTGTCATGGGAGCTCCCACATTCCATGCATTTGAGGATTTGAGCCTTGCGAGCTTCAAACTGCCAAGTATAACTTGCACCGTTTTGGTAACCGTAACGATTGTTTGGAGTGACGTAAGGATTGGCAAGTTTTTGGTCTTTAGGAGACTCACCGAGGAGAATACCAGATGAGACAGACTCAGGAGAGCTTGGGGATATCAGTAAGTCTGGAAATGCTCTTTTTTTGGTAGGGGGCACCAGCTTTGAGGTAAGGGCTGGCATTGGTTCTTTGAGAGGCACTTTCTGATAATGTTTTGTTTTGATCATGTGAACACTAAGATCCTGCAGGGATTCAAATGAATGGCCGCAGTACATGCATTTAAGAACTTTCTGGGCATCTTCTTTGCCTTCCATCTCCATCAGCGAACGCTTGCGTGGTTTGGACCACTTCTTGCTTCGGTCATCCTCGGTGTCCTTATTGTCATCACGATAGTGGCCTGTTTCATTCATGTGCACCGTCAGGCCCACCAGAGTGTCATAGGCTGCACTACAGTCCTTGCACCTGAACTTACTGGCACCTGTAAACACAGGGCCGTAGAGCTTATTGTTTTGCCTGTAGAGCTGCACAGTGCTGAACAGGCTTGGCTCAGGAAGGAGCTGGTATGGGGTATGCTGCAGGGTTTTAGCCAGTGCTGCTTGGTGCCAGTCATAGGCTAATCCCCCTGTGCTGCCAGAGCCTACACTGGCGCCACTGTTGCTGTTGCTTGAAACTGTTCTAGTGGTAGTGCTGCTGGTGGTTGTGTTAGTAGTGGCTGAGGCGTTGCTTGAGCTACATCTGCTCTTCACATTGGTGTTGCCTGGGCTGTGACTGTTCAGAAACCCATTGCTCCCTTTGTGATTGCTACCTCCATTTCCATTGCTAGCTGTGTAATTGTTCCCATGTTTACTTTTAAGCATGTCCAGAGCTATACTGGACCAGGAAGCATCAGAGATCAGGTTTGCATAGACTGCTTTCATTTGTGCCAGACTGTCCTGCAATGAGAGGCCATTGATAGACTCTGTGCTCTCCCCTTGCTTCTCCCTCATCTTTTCCTGGTCACCTAAGGAAGATGTGGTTTTATGGTCCACCAGCTGATCACTGGTGGTGCTGAGGGGAGACGCATACCCAGCGTCTGGGTTGGTGCCATTACTGAGAGGAGAGTTTTGGCAGCTGTATCGATCTCCTGCCTCGTCCTCATCATTGAAGAGATAGTCTGCATCTTGACCATCCAGGGAAAGGCCGTCATCTTGCATATGTTCATCTTCATCAGTTTTATCCACCTTGAATTCGTCATCAGGTCCATAAGCTGAAAAGAGAAAAAGAAGAAACATAATTGTAGATGCATTTCATGAAACATTAGGACAGTGGCTCGCTCTGACTGTTTGAGGGGCAGCGACAAAAAAATAAAAAGGGCATCAAGGTCATCTTTTAGCATCAAATACTTGAGTCCTTGCATTCTGGTGAATATTTACACAACAATTTGCTGTTGAAATTTGTGAAAATATAGAGAAAAATGATGCAATCAACAAAAAATGAATGCCACATCCTTGTATGGTTTTATGTTATTGTTTGCACCGCATTTCTAAAGAATTTGTATATATATTGTAAGGGCTTCTATAGGGCACTTTTCATGTTTTCTCCACTGTGAAGGCTTTCAGGGGGCACTATTTCTCAAGATTTATCATATGGAGGGGCATCCAAAGGGCACTTTTTTACTTTTATAAAACAGAAAGGCATCTGCAGGGAACTTTTCCATATTTAACCTACTTGGAGGGTGTCCGGATGACACTTTTGCATGTTTTATAAATTCAAAGGGAAATGTTTCATAGAGGAGTATCCGGGGGGGACACTTATTTCATATTAGACAATGGCTGTGCATCCAGATGAAAATTATATACTATGGAGGGACATTCAGGGAGCACCAGACAGGACCCTCTTTGATATTTTATAATTCCAGGATGACACTTTTATGACATTTTGTCCACACGTGAAGGCACTTTGAGAGGGGCAATCTTCTCCCACTTCCACCACAGCATTAGAGTGACACCCACAATGCTGCTACCTCCCTTAGTATATGAAGGTGGTACGGATAATAACCCTATAGAAATTTTTGTCAATAGTCCCAGCAGAGGACACAGGTTTGCTATAATAAAGTGGCAAACATCCATATCTTGACAATGACAGATAGTCCTTTTCACTGCACTGCCTAATGAAGCCATTGAACACTGAAGCTCACAAAGAGAACAGAGCAGAGATGAGCTTAGGAAATGTTTCTGCTTAGTTTAAGAACCAAAAAAACAGGCACATCTTTAAACAACACAGAGGACTATTCCTGAGAGTATATGAAACCTATTAATCATGTAAAGAACAAAGATATTTTTGTCTTTTCACAACTGAAAATATGCCTCATTTATTGCTCTGTTAAAGACTTACTACGATTTTTGCTCAACACTACACACTGAGTTGTAAGAACAAATGAATAAGCTGAATTTGCGCATCAGTAAATTGAAATGAGAGCAGCATAAAAAATACACATCTTTTTACTGCTGTATGGCATCTATAGATCCATTCGTCTAACATGCCACACATATTATGGATTCACAAGTAAGAGATAGTGGAGGAAAATGCCAGCTGCATCCTCTTTGCCAAGCCATGGTTGGCTGGAGTCAACTTGGCATCGGCTGTGGAAGTCCTCACAGCGTGATGCTAGGAAACGGCCAGTGGACATGACAAGCTGTGTTGTTACTGCCTGTGCTCCCTGAGTACTCACAGCTCTAAGTGTGCCATTTTAAAAGAACAGAGAGATTTATAGTATCGCTTGAAAATGGCGGCCCACTTTCTGAGACTATCTACGATTTTCACGAATCATTTGTTTGAAAATCTACATTATAACTCTTTATCTAGAGATGACAGAGATAAGTAATGAGATATTAAATGATAGAAATAAAGGATGGATAAGGTTTACAATGATCTTGGATGTAGATTAAAAGAGAAATATTATAGAGCTGGAGAGAGAAAGAGAAATAGCGGGTTAAATATGCTAAGGCAGCTCCCCCAATCCATTCCTCACAAGACGCTTGTCTGAAGTGCCAGAATCAGTCTCCAGTGAGGAGGCAGATGTGCTGTCAGCTTCAAACAGCATGTAGCTCTCTATCCCATAATCGGAATGGACATAATACCTGATGTTTGTGAGGTGCCAGTTACTGCTGCCTGGAAAAAGCTAGAGGTCCAACAGCTGCCACTCTCTGGCTCTTGTGTAAAAGTGTGTGTGTTTGAGATGAGTTGAACGCTCAAGCTTTCTTTTTAATTTAACTATTCCTGAGCAACGTTTGCTTTTGATTCTTAGGTCTTAGTTGAACACAGGCTACAGGAAGATCATCACTTTTGTTACTGTGTTCAGTACTGGTTAATAAGATGATAAGAGCATATACAAACACACATTTCAGTCTGATTTTACATCAGGTAGAGGTAAACAATCTATTATTTTACGTCGCATTCAGCTTTCAGTGTAGTGTTTTGAATTTAAAGCATGCATCACTGCCAATCAATGCAGCTAAAGGTGCTGCACATGGTGGAGATGCATGAGGTCTCCACCATGTGCAACACCTTTAGCTGCTGGAAGCTCCTGGAAACTTACCAGGACACGACTACTGGTTTAAGTAGTCAATAAGAACAAGTACACAGAAAAGTGGACACTATGGGTCACTATGGAACCTCCTGAGTTTGTGCTTTCTGCTGCCATACCATTTACGCCATTTGCAATGGCCACGTGTACATGCTTATTTATCAAAAAGAACAAGGGCCTGATCTATGAAAGGTTTGCATGTGCAAATTGCGGTCGCTTTTTTGCGTCTATATTTAGCATGTTTGAAAGGCACGTGCAAACTAAAGCAGCATTACGCACGGTCATCGTGGTGAGAAGGATGCAGAAGTGCCATGATACACACTATGATCCTTGTCCAAAAGCTTGTGATTTATTTCGTTTTTCTGGTACATGACAATTTTCATAAATAAAAGGTCAAACACAAAACAGACAAAAACATGTATCTGTTTTATTGATTTTAAATCGTTTTAATCCCTTTTTGATTTCTAGTATCTCTTCTTGATCTGTAAAGCACTTTGAGTTGTCTTGTGTATGAATTGTGCTATACAAGTAAACTTGCCTTTATGCAGTTCCCCAAAACGATATTTACAACTCCATGGTTTCAAACACTCTGCTCTCACAAACTCTCCGTGGTGACAGCGGATAGCGCACGCAAAATCCTCCTTTAAAGAGGGCGGTCCGCACCACTTTTGCTCCTGCTATCAATTGTGCAGGCAATGATAGTAGATCACCCGCAACACGTCCACTAATAGCACATGCAATTTTTCAGTTTGCACACGCAATTTAGCGCTCGCTATTTTGAATCTTAGTAGATCAGGCCACAAGTGTGTAGAAAACTGGACACTGCAGATGTGCAATATGTTAGAGGCTCAATATAATTTGAGCCTCTAACTGTTCAACTGTATGTCTGCAGAGATAATACTTATGAGTCTGCTCTACAGGTTGATACTCATACTCATGTTAAACAGTATTTACACCTCTTTACATTCTGTAGATTTTCAGTACCATCAGTGATATCCAGTATAATGTAGAAAATATGACTTGGAATTCTTTTTTTATCAATTCATTGATAACTGATCATTAACATTTCCGAAGATGGATCAGAGAGAATACTTTGAATTTGCATCCCCTCTCACCTTTTGCCAACACAGCTGCTCAGCTTTCTGTCAGCCCGTCTGCTTTCCTCTATCAAGATGCAGCAGCCCACTGTAGTGAAATACATGCAAAACTACACCTATTCAAAGTCAATGTGGTGAGAGGAGTTAAAGACAAAGCAGCTTAGCTCACAAAGTGAGAGAAACCTGACAGCGGTACAAACACACACTCACGCACTCACACATAATCACACACCAACACTAAATTCTGGTCTTCCCTGCCATCCTCCGTATGTTGCCTTGACAGGCATCAGTGTCAGGAGTGTGTCAGTGTCAGCCCGAGGTAACAGTGTCCACACAAACAACCCTGAGAGGAGGTGGGAGGGGAATGCAACAACAACAAACACAAGTCAGCCATTTTTTCTCCCTCCTCCTCCTTCACCATCTGTGTCAGAAAAGCTGTGGGTGCCACCGCCGGCTAATAAGGCAATCAGAGATGGAAAAGATGCTGACACTGCGGCTTTCCAGCGTCACTCAGAACAAAAGAAAAGAAGAGAGGGAGGGGGGAGGGATGGGGAGGGGATTAAAACGGGGGTGGAGGGGAGGAGGACGGGGAGAGGTGTCTGTTGTGGTTGTCAGTCAAAGACATAAGCCCACTTTGTGCTGTCAGGGAGGATAGGGAAAAAAGGGGGAAGTTTTTCAAAAGAGAGGAGAAAAGATGCGTTTAGGCCAGAGAACAAGAGGAGTGTGAGAAACTATGTGTGTGAGAGACAGAGAGCGATAGAGAGAGATAGAGAGAGAGAGAGCGAGAGAGGAGGTGTGTATGTCATAAAAACACCAGTTTAACAACTTCAACTAAAGGGAGAAACAACCCTGAAGTTTCACTCATTTTTGAGTTTGAGGGGTTCGGTACAAAAGGTGTGACTGATTACTAATGTGGGTTTCTGTGTGTCTATGTGTGTGTGTGTCAAGTGTCACAGTGTGTCAGGTGCATGTAGGGATGCAGTGTGGCTGGTGGGGGGGAGCAGAGCCATCTGCGTCTGGAGAGGAGCCTGTCACTATTGTTGTGCCCAGAGTCCAGGATTTCCTGCTGCAGACAGGTGACACCGCAGTGGGACATTCCCCACACACACACACACACACGCAAACACACACCTCCTCCAAACAACATCCCTCCTGATGGCAGGAAACTGTGTGAGGTCTACACACACAAACACACACCCACATTAGCTGATTCCCAGTCCAGGGGCTGCAGCTTTTGAAGAGCCCAGCTTTTGTGGCTTATGTAGACTGGTCAGGCCATACTGGATTTAGATGGTCTACCCTTTGGAGGATTATTTGCTTTATCAACAGTTTTCCCCCCTCTGTACATAGGCGTCACTTGGCACTGCCCTTGTTACTTATTACTGGGTGGCTACCAGGCTAACTTACTAATAAATGAACACGATAAATGCATGGACTTTTTAAAGCTTTTAAATCTGCTGGAAACAATAATTAACTTCTTAGGCTGTTAGCTGCTGGTTCACACTTTTATCCTTTAGCAGGATTGATCAGCTGACCACAGACACAGCCTCTGATCTCCAAAGATGGAGACTTTTGTCAGCTTACAACAGAACTAACACAATTTCACAAAAACATTAAACACACATTATCACAGGTAACTTCCATTTTTGAGGAATTGGATCTTGTCATTTTAATACAGGAAAGTTGCTGGTCTCACAAAGTGAGTGGATTTTAAAGTTAGTCATTTTACAGCCTAAAGAATACAGGACGTTTTTAGCACCAGAAAAACTTTAAATGATACTTTACACTAACTCAACAAAGACAAAAACACACAAGCTGAACAACTGTGCAAACAAAAGTACTGAATAAGACAAACCACTTTGTATCTCTTTGAAATTTAAATCTCCTGTGAGAAGGCTTTGGCGCCCCCTGTGGACAAACACACCTCTTATCTGTTGACGGACTTATTCTTTACCAAAATGCTCATTCTACCATTGATTAACACGACAAATGTATAACTAAAGGAGAATTTTTGTGTGTAAAATATAAACAGACTATCTTGGCTGCACGAAGTTCATCACTTCATCCTGCAGCAGTAGTTTCAGGCATTACAATTAAACTATAAGTAATCATTTTGATTGATTAAGGTCTTATATACTTTTGAAGCCCATAGTCATAATTTCAGCCTGTTTCCTCACAGGATCTTAATAAATGACTTTGACCACGCAAAGACACAGAAAATGTCCTCTACTTTTACTCAGAGATGATAGAGGAGCAGAAGTGATAACTCGAGTGTTTGTGGTAAAAACAACACAGCCTCGCACCGTACACACTTCCCCTCTAAACCTTCTTCATTTATTCATGTTGTCTCAGAGAAGAGGGCAATCCTGCCTCTCATTTGCAGTGCTAATGTCCAATTCCGCCAGCTTTCACCCAGTTGATTTACCCCGCGTGGCCAGGCGCTACATTCGGAGCGGGGCGACCGGCAAGTTCCCCTCACACCGTTTAGCATCCCTTCAAAATGGGAGCTCTGGCGTGGCAGTCTTATTTCTCTCTCCCGTTTCGCTTTGTCACCGGCCCCTCTATTCCCTGCCACTCACCTCTGATGGCTTTGGACAGGCCTGATCAGTGTGTGTCATTGACCTGTACGCCGAGCATGAGTGTGTGCGGGATTCTGCAGAGAGAAGGCTGTAAATAAAATGACATTATTATTTCCTCTGTCCCATCATGTAGAAAAGCCAATTATGGTAATGCTTAGTATGTCAGACAATCTCTGTTTCTCTGTGCTCTCTCCTGTCCTCTTCATTCTTGCTCTTTTTTTCACTGTGGCTGTGTTTTCATGAGACCCGACACTCTCTTTGGACAACACACACTGAGGTAAAGTGACACAGACCAACTGTCTGCTCTCGGCCTGGAGACGACTTCAAAATAAGAGTTTGGAGGCTTAGTTAGTATCAAAATATTTATGAGAAGAAGGGGTCAAAAGTCGGCTACTTAGGTTTGAATGCCAAAGTCACTTCCTAGGCTTGTAGAGGGAAAGATAAGCAAAAACGGCTTTGTCCACAGGGGGTGCCAAATCTGCCATAAACTGGAAGTTTCTCACTGAAGCTTGAAAAGCAAACCTCATCACCAACAGTTTCAAATATACTTGAAAATGACATGTGGTCCCACTTGTTTATTTAACAGTGACAACTGCAGGGGACATTGCTTTACAGTGTATACAAAGTAGATGCATGCATACAGGTGTAGCCATGGCTTATTAAGATAAGAAGAACTTTATTGATCCCTAAAGAGAAATTTAATAATTCAAAAGTTCTATAATTTGCAACCCCTGTCCCTGGATAGGTGATATTACAGAGTACCAAGTTACATTACTATGATAATTACGACAATAAAATCATTGCATGCAACTTGTATGCAATTCAAATCAATGTATGCAATTAAAGAGTGTAGGGCTGCAGAGATCCCACTCTTAGTCGTCTTTTAAAATCGTTTTGGCGTTATCAAGACTAAAGTGGATCACCTCACCATGTCTGGAGAAATCTGGAAAAGTCCCATCCCTGATAAATGAGTGTGAAAGATATTAACAAGATAGGGTGGAAATGTTAAACATATCATACAATATACAGAGACAGTAATGTTAAGACGTCAAACCTGTTACAAACCCTCATAAAAATCTGTCTCTGTGGACACCAGTCATTAGCTGTAATCTAGCCTCCATTTTTCCTGACCGTACATATAAACCCCTCCTCCTTCTCCTTCCTCATTTCACATGGACTCATCGACCATATGGCACAACAGCTCTGGGGCTTCGACTGACTTGTGTTATATACAAATCCACCTTCTCAGCCTCCAAGACTCCCAGTCATTAGAAATAAAGCCCTCAGTTGTCTACCATCTCCATGCATGTTGGTGGTTATGTCTGCAAATGTTTTCAATTCAGCTTTGGATACTTTCTAAGAGATACATGACCTTTTCCTAAAGTTTTTGACTGTCCTCAGGGTTTTCACATATGTTCCAAGTAATGTGCAATTACTCGAACTCATATTATGCTAATAGGCTTTCTAAATGGGTCACACAGACAATGCGTTTTACCTCTGGCTCAGCTTCATTAGGCCAAAGCTGGTGTAGTGTGTGCTGCTCACAGAGTGGATCAGTTCTAAGAGAGAGAGAAACAAATCCAGGGAGCTGCAGCCATTTCTTTAAACGAGAGAAAATCTTCCCCTTCTTTCGTGCTCTGCCCGTTTGTTCCAATTTCCCATGAGCCAGTTTTGACGCAGCATGACAGTGACTGTGGTCTATAAATCACCTTTTCCCTGAACTGTCAGTGCCTGCTTGTTCTTAGATGAAACAACAGCCATTAGCTCATCGCCAGCACAGACTCCAGCCCCTTTCTGCTCGACTTTCCTGCCAACCACCCCCCCACACCCAGCAATTGAGCTCTTGTGCTGCACACATTTCAAACCATCTGGTTTGTTTTTAGGCAAAGGAAAGATAAAGCATTACTAATGCTAATTAAAGATGATGAGAATGAAATTTTCTCAGAGCCAAGAGCCGACATGCTGCAATAGACAGGTGTCATTTATGAAGCAGATTTAGTCGCTCCTTTACCAGCTATGACTTTTTAAACAATTTTTATGGCACATCAAGACTTTAAGTTAGTTGTCTCCGTGTTTTTTAATCATCACTTTAGTAACACTCTATATTAAGGTCCCTATAATAAGCATTTATTAATGGCAAGCTTACTAACATAATAGTCTTAATAAAAGCACAATTACCACATTGATTATCATTTATTAGTAGTGATGCCAGTAACGCCTAACTTAGTAACGCGGTTCTTTAATAAGTCCACTTTTTTCAGACGAGTAATCTAACACGTCGGTATTTCCAAACCAGTAAATAGACTTCATGTACATGTCCGAGTCACTGTGAGCGTTACTTTTTTCTCATTTTCCTTGAAAAAATAGGTCGATTCGTTTTCGTGTGGGGGAGTGACAAGTCATGATTTCAGCATGAGGACCACTCACTTGTGTAATACATGTGCACACACACATTAAGCAGCTGGGGCAAAATGAACATAAACAACAATGGAGGGAGGAGAGAGATGCACGTTCTAAAGATGAAAATATGGTTACTATCTTAAAGACTGTCTTTATTTTAGAAAAAAAAAAGTTTCTATTTTGTCAGTCAAGAAAGACTATCTTTATTTAAAAAAAACAAACTAACAAACAAAAAACAAAACATGTATTATTTGACATTCCCGTTACAATTACTCTTCCAATAAAGTGAGTGTTGGACAGAAAATGGTTTTCATTTATATGTTGAGGCTGCAGAATGTAACTTAAGAAGTAACTTGTAATCTAACTTACCTACTTTTGAAATTCAGTAACTCAGTTAGATTTTAGAGGAGTAATCCGTAATTAGTAATCAAATTACTTTTTAATAGTAACTGTGGTAACAGTGTTTATTAGATACGTTATATACTAAGTCGTCTGTAAATTGTTTACCAGTGTGTGCTTATAGCTAAGTTTGTCAACAAAAATAAATGCTTGTTATGGTTTTTAAAAAGGCTCAGTCAGTTAGATCAATGTTGATAAACACATTATTAAATTAAAGCTTATTAAAGCTGCATTTCCCCCCGTAATTTGTAATAACTTTTCTACAAGTGTATTACAAGCTAACAATAAATAAATTTATCAATGATTAATTAATCAACCATTATAAAGTCTAACTAATGTTTATAAAGGTCATATGGAATTTTATCACTGGTTTATAAGATGTTAGTTTCTAATGGTAGCTTAAGTGTGCTATAGGCAATAATACATGTTTTAATTAATTAACACTTTTAATTAATAATTATAACCCTATTGTAGGGTCTAATATGTTCCCGTTTAACTATAAATGTATGATTATTTCATGAGCATTTACATTTAGTTTTATTAGATACATTAGTGTCTCATTAAGATTGACTGACATTTACATTATTTATCACTTATTAATTGCTAAAAAAGCTCCTTGCTCTAATGAGGGAACAGAGTTAAAACATGTTTTAGTTTTATATCATTTGTAAAGTAAGCTGATACTCTACTGTTTGTGTAATAAGCAATTATAATTGTGTTGATTAACACTTTTTATGCTTTATAAGTGTTACTCAGCTTCTTTTAAGTGGCATGAATTAATGCTCACGACAAGTACCTGACAGTTTTGAATGTTTTGAAGACTTGACACCCTTTTTAGTATTTGAAACACGAGTGAAGTTGTTCAATGTTGTTTTGGCTGAAGGGTTTCTGGCAGACATTGGCTCCGTTCGTATTCAGTTATCTTACAGGCTAACAAAATAACATGTTTTCAGTCTTTCTTCATAGACGCCGTCTTTTGAATTCACCTGCACTAACCCTGACAGTAGAGCTCCCTCCAACAAAACAACAGCTGCTCCCATCGCCTAGCAACAACCAGTTGATGGATGACCCCAAAGATGGATAATTACCATAAATCACTGTGGTTGTGTGGAGAATTGAAGCAGGAAATCATTGGAAGAAGAAAAAACAAGCTGAACCACAGTTGAAACTAGTCCCCCTGGTGTTTAGGCTAACTTCGTCCCTCCTGATTCGCTGACTTGTAGTCTGCAGTAGGTTTTCAGCTGGCAGGAGGAGTCGGTGACCCCCAGATTTAATAGAATTTTAAAGTTTTCTGGAAACGTCTCGTCGTGTTCCACCAAAGTATCCAGTTTTTTTGTTTTTTTGACTGTATGAATAGAGGCTGTAAAATGAAACTGATGAAATGAGTCATGGCACGAAACCTGTCCTGAAGGAGCGATGAGAAAGAAAACAAAGTGGGCAGAGGAAGGAAGAAAGGAAGCAGCCAAGAATGAATGATGGCAACAATGATGAGTTTAGTGCAGCAAAGCAGACGGAGGAGGGGGTCGGAGGAGAAGACACACACAGGGGAAGTGTTTACAGCCTGAACACACAAATATTTATGCACTGTATGCCTGAGTATGGACTAAAAAGACAGAAGCAGTCGGAGAAATTTAGAAAGAATGAAGAGAAAAAGGTAAGACGAAGAAGAAGAAGAAGAAGAAGAGAGGCCAAGGGGCTAAAACAGGGTCACAACCTAACCAGTTCAGTCTGGCCGAGTCTGGTTGCACAATAAGCCATCAATCAACCTTCTGCACCCTGTCAGACCTCCCCTCAACTCACAGAGGCTTTACACTCTGTACTCCGCCGAGGAGCAAAACACGGAGAAGGAAAAGAGAGTATGCACACACACAAACACACACAAACACACACACAGCTCAAGCTATCTGAAGTGTCCTAAAGATCTGATCGCAGCATGAAGAGAAGTCAAACCATTTTCAAACATTTGACTTAATATGGCTAAAAATCAGCTCAGCAGCAGGTCGGTCTATTCACAAGTTTGTTGTGCACACACCAGCTTAGCCTCTGTAAGCTAACAAACGTCTCACAAGCTAGTCAATCACGACCACACGAAACATATGTGAGACACAGCAGCTCTCAGGCCTTCTTTTTTTTCCACAAGTGGACATTTTTAGATATTTTAGCAGGAAACATCAAACTGGAGGAGTGAGCTTCCTAACTGCTCACAAGCATGCGTGTGCAGAAAACCTTTTTGACTTCTTTTTCTACCTTTTCTATCACAAACTTTTGACCGTCTGAAGTATTGAGGGACGTAAATTTAGAGTCAACAATGAACAGAAATAGGACTAAACAGATTTTTCTTACATCCTATATTTTTTCACAGCGCTACACTGCACATAACTGTCGGTGTTGCAAAACTACAGAACATACAGGGGTGTAAAACATGCAGAGCAGGCTCATCATCAGAGTCAAACAACTTCATGTGAAATTGCTGCAACAGAAGAAAAATAGAAACATATTTCAGCCTCCATGTCCGACACAGCACTCTTTCTTCCTCTTGTCTGGCTTGTTTATCTGTTGTGCATACCTCTTTTTCTTTCACTGTACAGTACTTCTGTTTATAGAACGACAGAGCCCCCCCCTCCAGGGATCAATAAAGTATTAGCATTTTCTCTATCTGGATTAAAACATTTCACCAGCCTCTCTCCACCCTGTACTACATTTTGGCGAGACATAAAGCAAACAACACAAGTCTCAACACAAGAACTCGGAGTACTTTCTGAGAACAAGACCTCAGAGACCTGACTTACATCCCTTTCTCGAACATAAACACAGACAGACAAAGAAATCATAACTTTAAAAACCATAAAGTCACTTCAGGGAAATTAATTAGAACCACAAACCCTCGGGGCAGGAGACTGCTCAGGACAAGCAGACGTCCCCCAACATTTTAGTGCTTTTAACAGCACGTCTCACAGGGGAAATTCCAGCTATTGTGCTGCATCTGAACCCTTATCCTTTATGCATCACCACTTTTTCTACCTCATTCTGCCCACTCAAGTGATGAGCTAGGGCTGAAGTCTGCTATTTCATTTCAACATTGGTTTTAGATTGAACATGTGATGAACAGCAGAGGGGCAGAACAAAGATACATGGGAAAAGCATTTATAGTGTGGATGTGTGCTTATAGGAGCTGACACCACCCAGTTGGTTGGTCAGTTAGTTGGTCTCATCTGACCAAAAGAGCCAACATGGAGTCTGGGAAAGGTCTTATTGTTGCGAAATGAGTCAAAAACAATATCTGGAGTTTTTATATAACCTGATCCTAAGTACTTTTTAGAGCTGGGAGACTAATCAGATTTAAACTTCCTTTACAAATATGACCCTGCATGATCAAAAAAATATTATAATCCAGGAAGTTGGAGCTCCTGTAAAGATTAATGATGGACTGATGCATCTTCAACATGTTGTACAACAATGGTACAAACTATCAGGCAGCCACAAGTAGAGAGAGAGGAGCGAGGAGAGAGGAGCAGGAGGAGGAGGAGAGTAGAGGGAGGAGCAGGAAGAGGCAGGAGTGTGTCTCTGTGTGTGTCTGAAAAGCCAAGGGACACAGATAGAGAGCTAAAAAGTGAGGGACAAAGGTCAGAATCATAATCAAATATAAGCCCAATTCTCAATGTTATAAAGAACATCACTTAAAAGCTCACAAAAAAAAAAGAAAAAAAAAAAGGAAATGATTTTAGATCTGCAGCCTGTGATAAAATGTCGGTAGTAAAAAGGCTCAAGACCTTCAATGTTTTATGACAGTGTGAAAATACTTCCAAGTGAAATCTGACATTAAATCTGACATTTAATGCAGTATTATTATCACCAAAATGAAGTCAAAGTGAAGTAAAGAAATGAGGCATGGGCCTTTTTAGTTGTGGTACACATGACTTACATTTATAACTTTATACCATCCAGGCAAATGAGAAATCAAAAAAAGATTAAATTTTTCCGCTTATTGTGATTTTCTAAGAACTTTTAGAGATTTTAAATGTAAAGAGGTTTAAATTAGCTTAAATACTTGTAGTGTAGATGTGAAATTGTAACTGTTTTGAATAAACGTGACATCAACATCAATAACAATCAAAATCAAGACTTGAATTATCAGAAGCATGTCCTGAAATGCTACAGTAATGCTGGACTGTCTTTCGGCTGACCTACTACGTCATATAACAAACAACTGACAAACGCTAAAGGGTTACAGGATGTTTGTTAAAAAGCTCTGTGGGTTTGTGTAATATAACACCTTTATTTTTTTTTAAAGTCCTTTTGTTTCCTGTCAAGGTTTTGTTTACTACCTGCCTCCTAGCAGCACATTTATGCTGTTTATCTTCAGGGTCGAAGCCCAGCATGCAAACTCTAGAGCATGTGCAGAACGCTTCGGTCAGTTTTATTCTGACTGAGGGGTATAGAAAAAGGAGAAGATCGATCCCTAACCGCGTTATCTAGTTATGTTAGTCCGACTATGAGAAGTGTGATGTGGTGCCATTTCAGTCGGACTGATGTGTTTACATGTTTTTCCAGATCTAGTCACACTGGAGCAATAAGAGGATTTTTAAAATTTATTTAGGGTTGACCTAAAGATAATGTACTGTTTTTTGTTTTTTTGTTTCTGACTGGCTAATACATTGAGAGTAAATTTGGTCGAGCAGGATCTTCTTCAGTTGCTTACAGCCTTTGTGCATGTGTAGATTTTTTCCTCTTTTCTTCATGACCGCAGCAATAAAACCAACAAAGAAGAGGTGATAGGAGTGAGGAGGGATTAGGGGCTGGGAAGGGTCCCTGGAGAAAGTCAGTAAATTATGATCTGGCCTCTCAAAGTGGACTAGTATCAGTGGCCATCTCAGTCTAATTGTGTGTGTGTGTGTGTGTGTGTGAGTATGCATGCCTTTGTATGCGTGAGTGTGTGTGAGCGGGGAATGGCTGTGAACAGTCATAGAGAGAGGAGAGAGAGGCAGGAAGAGAGGAAGCAATCCTTCAACAGAGCACAATATCAGACTGCGGACAGACAACCAACGGCTGGAAGGTTCTGGAAACGAGAGAAAAAGCCTGCCTCCCTCACATTTCAGCTCCCAAAGTGCCCTCCATCTAACACTGACGCACACACACAAATGGCACCATAACTCTATATCCGCAATCAATCTCCTCTATGAAGACACATCCATCTTCAGTAATGTTAATGGGAGGTTTTTGAGGGGTTGGAGGGGGTGGAGGACAGGGGTAAAACAGAGGGTATGTGACTGCAGAGCTGACCTCACAGCAGTGTGAGGTAATACTATGAGTGTGTGTGTGTGCTAAAGAGGCAGACTGGATGGATAAAACGTGAGAGAGGAGCTGCGTTTTAGTGTATCTGAGCATGTCTGGGGGGTCAGGTGTGTGTGGGAAGGAGAGACTGATGGCTGTCAGCTTGCATCTGGCAGCAAAAATAAATTAGGCTTATGAAGACAAATGAACAGGCGATCGAAAGAGTAAACGAGGGACTGAGGGGGGGATCAGGAGAGGGAGAGAGAGGGGGAGATGAGGGAGAGAGATGTAGAAAATGAGGATATTGTAAGGCATGGATGTTAAAGGAAAGATTGCCAAAAGAGGGTTTTCTTTCAGCAGCCAGTGACCGTTCATTAAGAAGGACAGGCGCACAGACAGGCCTGCTGCTGGCAACAGAAGCAGCTTTGGCTGCAGCTCCTCTGGCTGCAAGGGAAACATATATGTGGGCGTATGTGTGGGTATCTGTGCCGTTAAATCCAATGCCAACTTCTCCAGCATTTTTGTAAGAGTTTTCCTGTCTTATTTTTGCTTGCTTTTGAAGCTGCAGCACAGCCTGAATAAAATGCATGATCACTGGCTTTGTATCTGTGCTGGAAGTGCCTCTCAGTGTGTGTTTCCTCCGTTTGTGTGTTGGTGTCAGCATGTATCCATTTGTGTTCTATCTCCGCAGATTTGTCAGTGTCTATCCCGTGACACACTCCCCTCGTTGGGAGTGGAGGAGAGCTCTCGGGGGGCTTTGTCACGCGGCGGTCTGTTCTTTTCCTGAGGCCTGGCGCCCCCCGTTTGATAAATGACACATGTCATTCTGTCAGCCCCTGCCATCCGGGCTGGGAGGCCCCCTAGCTGATGTATGGCCGCACAAGGCTAAAAGAAATCAGAGTGTTTTGGCAGCGCCCTGAGAACACGGTCTCTTATAAGGGGTATGTGTGTCTGTGCGTGTGATACTGAGTGCATGTTTAATTGTGAGTATGTGCCGATCAGTGAGTGTCTGTGTGTGCTGCTGTGTGTAAATGTGTGTGTGTGTGTGTGTGTGTGTGTGTGCATGCTCTCAACCTGTCAGACAGACGGGCAGAGGGAGACAAATCATCGTCATGGCCGCCCCAGCTGTTCCCCAAATTTGGTGCGAGGAGGAGAGCGGAGGGGAAAAAATCCTGCCGTTTGAGTTTTAAACGGCTGATGCTTCCCAGAAACGGGAATGAGTGAGAGGACGAGAAGAGCTCAATACACACACACACACACACACACACACACACACACACAGAAATACACAAACACAAGAACACACGCTTAAACTGTATCAAACTCAGAGGCTAGAGTCAAGCGTATCCCAGAGGGAAGCAACAGACAGCCTGAGTAGTTGTCTTCAAAACAGAAATGCTTAAAACACACATGCATGTAAACACATGAGGACAAACTTTGGACGAGGAATTTGCACCTTGAGCTAAAACGCTGACAGGAAGTCAAAACAGAACACCAGATGCTGGTTGAAGTGGGACTTGCATGAGCCTATCACACTTTTTCTTTTTTCTTTGCAAGTCAGCATTCCTTTGAAACCAGAGTTTAGTTTGCCAACAAAAGCTGTGACGATAGATGTTTGCCGACGCCCCTTTTCTCCATGATGAAGATGAGATGACAAGCTTCAATTCGTTGGTTTATGTTTATGAGACGATAACCAACTAAAATTTTTTCACGTGGACATTTAAAACCCATCATATTTCCCTCGCTGTGTGTCTAACCCTGCCACCTAAAACACCACTATTTATATGAACAGGCTGAGTTAGCTGACGGGTTCTGTGAACTGCAGTTCCCTGAGTGTCCACTTGAGGCTGTCCGCCGAAGCACTGGGAACCACATACACACTAAGCCAATAATGCTCATTTAGAGAGCAAATTCAAACATGTTTACAGAATCCACCGGACAAAGGACTGAACTGTTTTGTGACATGTTTGTCTTAAAATTATTACAATTGTGAGATCAGCTAAAACCACAAATGAATCTCAGACAGCTGCTTAACTAACACTGTTTCAAACTTGGATACGGTTTCATTAGCCTGGATGCTAATGCTAACTTCAGCTGACAAAGTCAAAAAAGTAGTTTGTTAAAACTTCCTGAGAACGCACCAGCTGATCTATCTGCTTGTCCGGCCACACACCCACTCACACACAGACATTAATGTTTTTCTGGTGGAGGACAGTCCCACCTGGAGGTTGTGAACTCTCCATGACCCCACTGGATTGGGCGCGGGCCGAACCCGCCCCCCCCCTCCTCTTCCATGGAAAAGGAGCGGGAGGAGGAAAAAAAACAGCGTCATTAAGCTGTGAGTGATGAGTGGCAGCCATGGGTGACATCCTCCCCTCTCTCTCTCTCTCTCTCTCTCTTCTCCACTATCCAGCCGCTCTCTCTTTCTCACTCTTTTTTTCCTCTCCATTGCCTTGATACTTTTGCCTCTCTCGCTTCATTCACCTTTTTCTCCATCCCTCAACCCCTCAAGTCATTTCTCTTTCACTCCTCTGTTGCTTCGCCTCCTCTTTTTCCACTCCCCCCCTTTTCTCCCTGGTTCTTTTTTGTCTTCTGTCACTCTCTTTTTTCTCCTCGTTTTTCAACCTTTTATGCTCCACACACACACACACACACACACACACACACACACACACACACACACACACACACACACACATAATAGTGCCCTCCTCGATCCTGTCTAGCTCCTAGTCCTGGTTGTGTAGACACTCAGCTTCTCCAGACATAAAGCATCCAAAATATCGATAGGAGGGTCCATTTTTTTAGCCGCTCAGGATTGTGCCTTCAGCGCCGCTTCAACAGCAGCTTCACTGTCTGGCATGAATGCGCGGTGAAAAAAAATCGTCCTTCAGTTTTAAATAGTTCATGATTATGAGTTTTTGACTGTTGCTCATTTCTTCCCCTTTGCTAAAGTTCTGACAGTGTTTTTGAGCTATCACTGTAGATTTACTAACCTCTAAATCAAACTCCAAAGGTCAGTGTCATAGCTTATAACTTTGGGAATATGAAAACAAACTTCCATAACAGCAGATTTTATCTTCAATGAATTAAATCAATTTGGAAAACTGTAACTCACAGTGTTCTTGTCTGTTCATGCTGCCTGGCCTTATTTACTATCTGTAACTTACTGGAAAGTGAAGGAAATCGACTGGTTTTTATGAACATACATTTTTTGAGAGCAAGCCATTCAGCAACTCAGTCTTATTTCTCTATGAGCACAGTCCTGCTTTTGTGCATAAAAGAAACCGGAAGCTGTATTTCTGTGTTTTCTATGTTTCTAAATACATTAATTAGCCAGAAAAAGACTTACATGGTTGCTTTTCATCTTGTTTTCATTTAACAGTCCAGAGCTTTCTAAGTCCTCCTCTCACACAGTGAATTCCGATCACAAACAGTTTTGCTGCAGCTCAGTTTCTCACACTGATAAATTAATCTGAAAAGTTCTCTGGCATCCTCAACAACTGGCAATTTCAAAGCTTCGCACATTTCTTTCTTTTGTTTCATTAAAAAAAAAGGATGAAACAATTTGTAACAAATTCAAGCCTTATGAAAAGTAGAATCACATCAAAAAACATTACTACTCTCCATTTTGAGGGAAAAAATAACAGCAACTGAAAACAGTTTTCTGAGTCTTTATGATTGTTTTAAATTCCGATTTCAGAATATCAGATATACTGAGATTCAAGTCAGAATGCTGAGAAAGTCAAATATCTGACTTTTTCCCCCCAGACTTCTTTAATTTCTTTAGTTTTCCTTAATTTAGGTTTTGAATTTTGATTCTGACTCTGATCTCAGAAACTTGAATTTACAGCCAGATCAAAAATAATTCTGTGAATTATGACTTTGATCTGAGAATTCCAAGATTAAAATCATAAATCAAAATCAGAATTTCAGGATCATAGTCAGAATTTCAGGATTAAAATCATAATTCCAAGATTAAAATCAGAATTCCAAGATCAAGATAAGAATTCTAAGATTAGAGTAGGAATCTTATGATCAAAATCATAACTCCAAGATTTTGGTCAGGATTTTGACTTTTTTAGTGTCGAAAGATTTAAATCAGGATTCTGAAATAAAAGTCAGACCATGTAAGAATTAAACCATCTCTTAAACATGTCAGCAAAGGTTCATGAGGTATTAAAAAGTGAACTTCATAGAGACCTGCCTCTGCAGTTTACAGCATTGTTTTTTGGAGTTGTAAATTTAGGGCAAAGCTGGCTGATAAACATCTTCACATTTTGAATTTCTGCTTGTTAAAAAGCACATTTTGAGTTGTTAGTTGCCTCCTGAACTCCCTAAAAAACAGGAGTTGATTGTTATTCTAAACAATATTTATGTTACGGAGCGGAATACTTATGTCTATGTCTTTAGAAGGATATTTTTTTCAACTTTTTTTTAAGTTACCAGCCAAGGTCTGTTCTATGCTGTCTAGTCCCAGCAATTCTGATCCACATTTTGTTTAATTCTGTGTCTTTAATTTCTACCTGATATGTTTCTAGTATCTTTCCTCCCAGACTGTATATGGTTCTAATAATCTGTATAAATATGTTGTTGACAGAAGAAGTGATGTAAAAACTTGAAACTGTGGTATCTTACATATGAAAAGCAAGGAGTTCTCAAATGGTTCATGTTTTTGTCATTTGACCCTAACCCTCTTGCTAACATGTTTGTTGGTCATTTTGGTACAAGAAATAACAGGTCGTCTTTGAGACGGCCCAGTAGTAACAAGTTGGAAGAAGGCCTGTCCTACTTCGATCAGTGAGTCATTTCTTTCCTGGTGCTTGTAGACAGACACAAGGACAATAGTTCAGTTATTAATCGAATTGTAACAGTAGCTCGACCTAACTGTGCATGTAAACATACTGAGAGACTGAAACAGAGACAGGTAATCAGGAAAGAGATGCTCAGGTAGACAGTGAGATACATGGACAGATCATGTCTGCTGTAACACAGGCTTAGTGGCATTTGAGACACGCTGTCAAAGGGGACGTTCGGGAGGCCACCCGCTGCTCCCTCTGAGACAGACGACTTAGAGGACAGAGCCCAGCTTAGACCCCCTGTGACCGTCTCTGTCTGATACATGACGGCGGCTCAGGACAGATTTTGGAGGAGTTTTCGGGGATGGGGGGGTTGGTGGCATGTGGTGTTGTTGAAATAAGAAATGAGTGTGATCCTAGGACATAATATCCTCTTTTTAACTGCCTATCAAGATGATGACTGCTGAGTGATTACTTTGTGTAACCCCGAGCAAAATGTGGTCAATGGGAGCTTTGATGCTTTACCCATGCAGCTTGCTTTTTTCATAACTGAGAGTTTAACGGGGATAGAGATGACGCTTGGAAAATATGTGACAGTCATGTGTTTAGACTTCAAAGACGATGACACAAGAATGAAGTAGCCTGTGACCTTTCAGATTTTTACAACTCTGAAACTGATGTCGCCGAAACAAAACTATTGTGAGATGAGAAAAGAGGTTATTGAAATATGAGAACAAGACCAGCGAGCCTCTTTTGCTTCCCTTTTCACATGCAGAGTTCATGTTCTTGTAACCAGTTCACTGACTCTTGAGAAGTGAAAGAAAGAGAGAGAGAGGGAGCGATGGATGAGGGCTGCAAGACAGGGAGGGAGATGAAAGAAAATATGAGCTGGGGAGAGGAGAATTGAGTCAGTAAGATAGAGATTGATGACAGATAGGAAGATGAGAAAAGGCTTAGAGGGAAAAGAGAGAGAGAGAGAGAGAGAGGAAGTGGGCCGGTAATCCCCCTAAAAACGAGGAGATAGAGAGAGAGAAGGTTGAGATAGAGATGAAGAGGTAAGAAAGGGAAGGAGAGGTGGTGGTGGCACCACACCAGGCTGCAGTATGACCTTCATAGGCATCCGCTGACAAGGACGGAGTGTCATCTGTTAACTGTCTCTGCTCACAGATGGTCCAAAAACATTATAATCTTTTCTTTGACTTTTATCCACTCACACCATTTGGATATGCTGAGTCCAGCTTTCGTCTGTCTCCATGCAATAAAAGCAACTGTCTTCATTCTCCTTATATATCTTAGACTCGTAGACAAACAGTCTTTCTTTTCAAGCTCTAGAATGAAAACACCCTCTCCTGGTAGCTCCTGCTTAGTTTGCACATGTTTAATTAATGCTAATGTTCTTCTGGTGTGTACAGGAGGATTAAATGCAAAACACCAACAGTGAGCAGTTATCATGTACTATATATGTATATGAGCTCATATCCTGCCTTTACCTTGGCAACTGCAAAAACATAACAAAAACACAAATTCTGTTTGTAAGCCTCAAGCTGGAGAGGACTAGCTTTATAGTTTAGGGTGAAAAATTGATGCAACTCTGCATGACAAGGTTTTTATTTGAAGTTAAATGGAGTTTCTGCAGAGATTGAACACTCAGTCAAAATGAACTGCTCTAGAGTCGGTAGTGCTGACTTATTTCTCTTTGCGTAACAGTTTCTTTATTGTTTAAAACCTGGAAGACAATTATAGACACTGTTGAAGGGATGCATGAATTTGACTCTTTCTTTTATGATGAGTCTAATGTGTGCACTGGTGCATTCAGGGTAGGTGGCTTGGATTTTTCAGTGCAACGTAACATGTGCTTGTCTCTCTCTTTCTGGTTCAGACGGATTTTTAGCTGGTGTAATTGAGGTTGGGTCATTCACAACCCTTCGTCTAATGTGGGGTGTTTGTTTGTGTGTTTGGTCTGAGGGTTTTACCACCAATGACCATACATAACATAAAATTACCAATATATTCTATTTAACTGGAATAGTAGCCCAACACCATACCATACATGTTGCTGCTTTAACGGTTGTTGTGTTCAGGCACCTGCTGGTTTGCACTGGGGCTAAATCATCAAGTATATATCCTCCCCTCTTCTTTTAGCCAGCTGACATCCATTCCTCAGTGAAACTCAGAGTAAAGACCGCTGTGCATGCGGTCTATTTGTGTGACTGCAAAATGTAAACATGCGTACGACAACGCTATAACTGCACAATTGACTGAGAACTGAGTTTTAAGACAGTTCTTGCCATTGATTCATCTATAAGCTTAATACAACCATTGTTACAAACAAGAGCAGTGTATTTGCAACTTTAACTATTTCATTAAAGCTGAGGGCCTCTGAGTTTAAATCAAACCCACAAGTAGCGAGGTGGTTTCTAAAATTCTAAAATGATTCATGAAGTTGGAACAAAATATTTCAGTGAATCAATTCTAAAAGCATAAACAGCAAACACTCCCACCTGAATAATGTTCCATTTGAGAAAAGACTGAGATCAAATCGACTTCTCAATCAACAAGACGATGTTGCTTTCAAAGCAGATGTCCAGAATTTGCAAAATTTGAAATATCTGATGAATTTTACACGACAGACTCACTGACTGAGTAAATCTACCTAGCAACAGTGTTTGAAGTCTAATGCCACTGTGCGTGTCTGCTGTGGAGCTCAGCCTCATGTAATCAGCGGCTAATAACAGCTCGGTGGGAGTCGCTCCCCACCATAAATCAATGGGCAAAATAATTGCTAATACACTGGTTATCGATTAGCGTGCCCGCCATGCTCTCATTTTCCAGGGCGGTCGTGCTAAGCGCTACAGCGGTGACAAGGGTAAAGTGTTATTTCTCAGAAAGGCCCACAGACAGACAGCTGGGCAGCGAAAAAATGACTAGAGGGCCTCTGCAGTAATTCTTAATTGACACCTGTCAGAGCGATGGCAGCAGTCACAGCTGCTGTGGGAGAACGTCTACCAGAGTCCTGTTCATCTGTCACTTTTAATACCTTTTCTTACAGGCACTCATTCACTACCTCTGTTGTCTTCTTCCCCTCAGCACCCTCTGTTACCCACAATGCCTCGAGCCCAGATGTTGAAGGTTTGCTAACAGAAGCAAGGAGTGGGTGGCATAGAGCCTTGAATGATATGAGCGAACATTATCTAACAGGGGCTGCAAAATGTGGAGAGATGCAAACCTTCAAAACATTTAAAATAATCTAAAAGTGATGGTAAAATTAGAGGCATGGATGTCATGTTTTGAGTTTGCATCTGGAATAAAAATCTTTTAGGCCTCTGCTGTGGTTTGCTCTGTTTGGCTCTTGTTTTTAATGTTGACACTGTGGCAGTTTTTCAGCTTTAGCTTCACCGACTGATCAGACTGCATCAGCAATATGAGCGAGCAGGAGATCCAATAACAAAAGACCACTGAGAATTATCTTAAACTTCACTGTGCTTGCAGCCGCATGACTCGAATGATTACTGTGATTACTGCAGCAAGGAGTGCCTCTGTGGCAATTTCTAATACATCGAGTAGAGCAGAGAATAAGAACCGTGAATAATTTTTTTTTTAATGCCAAATGCAGAGAAGAATATCTGAATCCGAGCAGAGTCTCTTTGGCTTTGGAATAATTTGATCACAGCAGCCAACAGAGGCGAACTGTGTCTCTTTGGCGGCGTCTGTCTGGCAAACAGAGCATCAATCATGCAAGGACACACACAACACATACAGACACCCTAATGTAACATTACACCAGGATTTGTTACTTAAAACATAAGGTCTGCTTTTGCTGACATACTTAGACGGTGCAGACAAGACAGCTGTTTGCCAAAGGTAAGAAATACAACAAAGCAAGAAAACACATGGAGAGCAGACTGTAAAAGAGAGACAGCTGAGACAGGGACTCCCCTGAGCACACACTGACCTCTCAGTGTACCCGGACCTCCCATCTTCTCCGTTTAAATCATGAGCAGCCATTTTTCTGTCTCTTTTCTGCTTCGTTCCCTACACCAAGACTTATCTCCTGTCCTTTTTTTATGAAGCTTAAACTGTGTGAATTATTGAAGAAACTGTTCGATGTTTGTGTGAAGAAACATGTCTGAGGCCTGCGATTTTTGCTGCTTTGATCAGCACTAAAGGAGCAGTGCGTATAAACTAAGAAGTGCTGGATCAAGCGTATTTTCTATTGACTAGATTTGATGTTGAACTGAAACTTTTTGTGTCTTGACATTTAGAAATTAATATCTGATTAGATACTTAACAGGCAATGCATAGATTTCACTTATAAAGCTTCTGTAAGGAAGTCTGTGGCAATTATGGCGCCCCCTGTGGACAATTCAGTCTTTGCTTTTTTTGTCTTCTAACACGCAAATCTCACACAGCTGACATTTGGCGATCAAATTTATTATTAACTGTGAAAATTTATGTGAAAATTGTATTTAAAAAGGGCTGCCTGGCTCACACCTACTCTGTCGTTTTGGATTCAAGCATTAAAACTGTTTGCATGAAAATCGTCAGCCTTGTCACTGATGGTCTTGTTTGCTTTTGTAATTCTAAAAAAAGCTTCAATATGAGTTTCAACCTAATTTATGACTGTCAAAAAAACTCCTCACCGGATCTGAAATAAAAAATACTAGACATCGCTATTTACATGTTCACATGTGTGTAGATTTGGTGCCTTTTTTGGTCGGACTTAAAGACGTGCTAAATATCTTTGGTTTTTGTTCGCTTTTAGGACTCTTAGGAACTTATATGCTTCTTCACTATTTTCTGATATCTTATATTTTTTTTGTATGATTGTGTTGTTTTTAACTATCATATGAAGTTGCCTATCATTTCACACTCTTCTTTTTCACCCAGTCAGCAGGGAAACTTTACCAGGACAGAGTTTAATCCCAAAAGGACTGTCATGAGGAGCGTTTTCTGCTTGTTCTTCCTCCTGTTGTTATTTGGAATCCTTGCTGTACACTGTGCCTCTTGTTGTGCAGCTTCAGACACAATAAAGATGATTATTTCAGAGAAGGGAGGATACTGGTGAGTGTTATTCTTGTTAAAATGACCTTCTCTTTACTTCCTTCTGTGCTTGAGTGGAAATCCAGGTTTTCCTGCTTCCTCTGAACCTCATTAAGCCCGGGGATAGTTTTACCTCGCGGCTGCGACGCTGAACGCCTTTACATCGTCACCCAGCCGGGGCGCCTAATTCCGACATATTTTCTATCCAAGCCTCTCTTTTCCATAAGAGCAGTCATCGATCTTCATTTGTCACTTAACCTCCACCAAGATGAGGACAGAGAGCGTGGTAGTGCGAGTGTGTGCGTGTTCTTGTGTGTGTCTTTGATTTCCTGAAGGCCTCCTGGTTCCAGCACAACATGCAAATGAACACGCGGGTGTAACTGAGTGTGAGGTAGCAAATATATCCACTGACTTCCTCAGTCAATGTCACCTGCTAATGACACTTTGCATGCACCACCTTATCACCAGATCTGAATACTTCACACGCACACACACAGTCTTCGTGCAGCTCTGCGACACACAAACACACACTGCTCTCATCTGCAGACTTCAAATAGCCTAATTTTTTTCCCACAGTGCAGCTTCAACTCATGACAAATGTCATTAAATGCTTTATCAGAAGCATCCTGATAAAACCAACACAAGTTTCCGAGGTGCTGCCTTCTTAGTTGACAGGTGCCGTGAGCTACATTTTCCTGCAGAGAAAATACAATGCGGAGTCACAACAACAACAAAACGTGGCTCAGAACTTTGTTCCTGTTCTGTCAAACACACCAAAAAAGTTGTTACAAGACGAATCACAGGGAAAATATTAAGAAAATCTTCCTCAGTGTGTGACAGCTACACCTTTTTTTTTTTTTAACTTGCAGCAAAAAATTCACAGTAGCACGTTTGGAAACCTCATTATACAACTGTTGTGTCCAGCCAGGCTTTAGCTTAGCCAGGTCAGGATTTCAGCCACCTCTGCTCTAGCTTACAGCCCAACTGAGTATGAGGAGTGGCTAACACCGAGTTGATTATATCAAAGCAGCTTGCAGCCTTGACACCTTGCTGAATTTGTAAGCATTAATCGGTGCGGCCCTGTCACTGATCCGTCAGCTCTACCTGGATAATTAGGGACCGCTGCTAACGATGCCGTCGGGAGGAAGGAAAGCTCAACTTCAACCCCCACCCGCCCACCCTGCAGTCATAATTAAGAGACTCCTTTAAGCACTGAAGAAGTGGTATCAGTGGCAGTACAGGAGGATGTGTTTGGGGGATGTCAGCGTCTCTGTCTGAGCATCCTGTTCAATCAGTTTGGCTTCTTTCGGACATGTGGCAAGGTGCTTTAATTAAACAAGCTAAGCTACACGGACAGATCATTAAACTGTTGCTCTGAGGTTCGTTTACCGGAGAATCATACATCTTAGCGAAATTAACAGCATTCACGTCTCTCATTGAAAGCTGATTTATGTTTGGAGTGCTAAACTTTTTAATTAGCAGCATCCCTGTGTGAGTGGCTAGCTTGTTTGCTAACATTTCTATCAAGACAGTAGATAGAGGCAGGCTAATTGCTGTCCCCAACTGTGGAGGTGTGTGTTCATGTAGCAAGTCCTTTTCTGCAACTTCACGATGTGTACAAAAAAGGACAAGGACTCAAATATTTCTAACCTTCAGCATTAAAAGAGTGACCTCTAACTAGACCTAAAAACTGTGAGTTTGATCGATCTCTCTGGATTGGTGCCTCACACTCTGCTCCGCCTCCTCCTTTAACTATAAAACCAAATGTTACCCAGTAAAGGTAGTAAAAAATTTTATTTTTCTGCATCCAGACCTTTTTAACTCCTGCAGAATAAATCTCACACGGTGTCGCTCTGTAATCACGCTGACATGTTGAATGATTAGTTGACAGATTCATTACATAGAGTGACAGAGTTTGATTTAAGATATTGTGGCTGCTGAAGTAAAAGCAGAAGACGTTGCAGGGAGGCCATTAATTCTCCAACAGCAATCAAAACTGTGACCTCAGCAGCAACGTAAATACACAACTACAGCTCTTGTTATTCCTATACATCGTATCCAACATATGCTGGTGGACTTACTCACTGCTGTTGTAGATCTGTTGACTGTGTTAATGTGACATTTTTAATGTTTTTTACACTCTTTACGTTAAATAAAAACATTTTAAATAAGCCAACATGCTCATTGTCGGATTGTCAATATGTGTGTGTGTGTGTGTGTGTGTGTGTGTTTGTGTGTGTGTGTGTGTGTGTGTGTTTGCAGCATTTAAAAACTTTAAAAGATTTATATTTTCTATAAAGTCACCATGTCATTACATTTATTGTTCTGATATTTGCTAAAAAAAACTGGAACAACACTCCAAAAATGAGAATTTTCAGCACTTTTTGGCAGAAAACACAATGCAAACAATTTACTGATAAACAAATTTGGAGGCTATTCCTTAACCGCTGATTTTTTTTCCGCAAAAAAAGCAAAAGCTGCAATAAGAATGAGTTTGTTTTTTTTATGAGTTTTGACTCTAGATTAACGGTCACATGGTTGAAAAAGAGAAAAATGGGAAGTTTTAGGATTTTCTGCTGAAAGTCCGACACAACCATTTGACTTATAACACTGACTATGTTTATGCACAAAACAAAAGTGACAACAAACAAGGTTTTGTGTGAGTTTTTACTTAGGCAGTATTTATGAACGATTAAAAAAATCTGAAGATTTTCCAGCATGTTCTGCCGAATAAAAAACACAAACTATTCACCAATTTCCAGATTTGGAGGACATTTTTGTACTACTGATTTCTTGTTTCTGCACAAAAGCAAAAGAAGGAGATAAAAAAGAGTTTTATGAGTTATTACTCATGTAAAATCTATGACCGGTAAACAGAAAACACACTTTTCCCAGTCTTTTTTCACCTATGCACATCTCAATCACGTACCGTTGCTCCATTGTTTACCTTGCATGATCCTGTCAAAAATTCGTCACCATAACTGTCTAAAGTGAAAGCAGAACTATAAAAAAAAAGACGACAAATGACTGCAGCAAAAGTCTCTGCTGCTCAAATAGCACTGCGCTGAAGTCAACTGCCAAAACTAACAGATGCAGTAATGGGGCTCCAAATGAACAACACTGATGTATTGTCACTGGCCATAAAGTAGATAGGGTGCAGCACCATTACAGGGTCTAAAATCATCACTGTGACTGATGAAACAAAGCCCATTTGAAATGGCACACAAGGAGCCATTGAAATCCTGAATCTCACTCATTATCATTTCTGTGGAGAGTTTATGCACTGTTTTATTCTTGTGATGAATTCCAGGAGTGGAAATATCTGGAGAGACAGCCTGTATTTTTTGAAGAGGTGCTGAAGTTTTTGCATTGACCATATGTCATGCACTGGAAATAATGCAGACACAAAGCCTGCCAAGCTGGGATTGACCATTACTGCGTGTGATGTATGTGTCTGTCACAAAAACAGACAATTAAATCAATATTCAAAAGCTGAGCCAGAATGGGGCCACTTCAGAGCTCGGCTAGACGAGCTGGAAAACAGGAAAAGCATCACTTTTTACGCCCTCTTTGGAGGGGGGTAACCAATAATTTGTGGCAAAGGTATAAAAAACGCTGCTATTCATTTTGGCTCTTCAAACACATTTCTTTCCATCCATCAGTAAAGCCTCGCGTCAATTAGAAATTACAGCCCCACAGAGTTCAAAGTCTCTCTGTCACAACCTTGATTAAGTCTGCTTAACCTCACATTTCCAACCGCCTGCTTAACATTCTGCAGCTGTTTTATTCGGCTTTGGTCATTACTGCACAAACTTCAAAGGCTCCTCTTTTTTCCCCCCTCTCGTCATTTTGAAAAATGCATGTCAATCACACGCATCTCTCCGGGACATGAAATGGATTCAGACAAACATGTGATCCTCTCTCAGAGTAGTTCACGTCTGGTCAGCTTAGCCACAACATGTGAGCACGGCTGTCCAAAGTAAAGGGTGAAGGTTTGGTTATTTACTGCTGCTGTTTGCCTTTATGCTTTAAAAAGGAAAGTAGTCAGCTCTTTCTAAATGTGCTGAGTGCCTTACTTTAAACTCAAATAGTGTGGTTTTTTTTTCTTTAAATTTGTTTAATGCTCTAGTATTTGAGCATGTCTAAGGAGGCTGCAATTTGACATCAGTTAGCAAAGTTCATGTAGTGCAAATAATAGGTGTTAAAAAGTGTTTTTGCACACTCTTGGTGTTTGTTTTGCAGCATGTGTGCATCATTTGATCTATTTGTGATTTATGAGCACCTATAAGTCATGTCACAAACCTGAAGTGACCATCTTGCCTCCTCTCCTCACCCTGCACTTTTCCCGTTCATGCCTCTGTGATCTCACTCCACCCCTCCTCACCCCTCCTTCCTCCTCACCCCTCCCTTGTTCCCTCCCTCTTGGGGATATTAATCGCAAAGTATTTATCCCGCTTGAGAACTTTTCTTTCAATTTGTCTTTTCTTTCGCTCCTCCTCAGCGGGGGCAAAAAGTTACTCCCTTTTGAGAAAGTCCAGCTGCCGCGGCGCATGCGTGTTTGCGCGCTGAATGATTTACTGATGTTTATCAAGAATGAATAGATCAAAGGCGGTCGCATGACAGGCGATCAATCAAGCATCAAATCAAGGATGGCAATCCCAGAGCGGAACACAGGCTCAAAACACGACCCTCTCCTTTCTCTGTCTCTCACAGGCACCGACACATTAGACACGTCGGCCTGTTCAGATGAGATAAGCTGAGAGCTTTGTTTGGCACAAGTTGGATGCTGGTGGAGAAGCGTTCAAGCGAGGAGAAATAAACTTATAAATGAGCTTAAAGGTGTTACAGAGAGAGAGTACATAGACTGCATTTACTTTATATGTAGATAAATACACAGAAGAGGTGCTGCACTGCTTGTTTTGTGCTCTGCATAAGGCCTGAAATCTACAGGGTTAACTTATCTGCATATAGAGCACACTGGCTCTGATTCCTGACTGTTTATCCCGACCGTGGGAAGAGGAAAATGTGCGTGTGTGTGAGTGTGTGTGCATGTGTGTTTGAAGTGCGGGGCTTACCTACTGACCGCCGCGGTGCTTGCTGCTTTCTCCTCGGCATGCTGTTGCAGGACTTTCCGCTTGACTTTTCATGCAGAGATCAAAAATAGCGACCGAGCTGGAGAGGAAACCAGGAGAGGAGGAATGAAAGGCAGCAGCGTCTCCTCACTACTTCTTCTTCAGCGGAATAAGACGAGCAAAGAGTAGATCCCACTCAGGGTGAAGAAGTCTTTCGTGTTTAATTTGAAATGATCATTCAGTGATAGGTGTGTCAAGATTCGGAGCGAGCAGGTCTCGTCCGGCAACTTCTGCCGATCGCGTTAAGTCACCGCAGGCTGGATCGTAGAGAGAGAAGCGGGGGAAGCTCCGCGAGGATCTCAGTCGGATACAGACAGCTTCCATCCACACAGACTCACACCCTTCTTTTGGGCTATTTCAGCCGCCTCCACTCGGCGAAAGTAGAGAACCCGGAGCTCCAGTCTCTTGTTTTTGGAGTCCACACTCCGCCGAAGCGTCTCCGTCCAGGTGCCTGAGCTCCAGCGGTCTCCAAGCTTTTTTTTTCCTGCTGTCTTTACTGAAGAGAAAAAGAAAGGAGAGAGTGACACGTTAGCCTGGGAGCCGTGTGTATGTGTCAATCACCCCGCAGTATCTCTGCAAACACCCCCTGGATTATGAAATACTCACATTGCCTGAACGTTGTCCGTCCAATTGTCAACACGGACACTTGACGAATTCCTCACAAACTCATCCCACAAGAACAGAGCGAGCGGGCCCGCCCTCAGAGCCGCAGACTGCGCTTTATTGTCTCTTGCTGCTTTCAAAATATGTTATTATTGGTGATATGGAGCGCAAACAAGCGTCCGAGGAGATTCTCCGCAGTGAAAATGTGCGCACATTTGGTGATGCGCGGTGCGTTCAGACAGCTCCCACTGATAGACAGACACATCCAGCTGCCTTTCCGGCCTCTCCTTTACTCCACCCCTCCACGAGCGTCACCCTGACAGTCAAAGCCCACCTGTCAATCTGCAGCTCTAATTGTTGGCTGGGATGGCTTTCATTTCAACGCCCTCCCGTCGCCGCGAGCACGCGAGAGAGGCGCGAGCAGCTCCTGAACACACACCTATTTGTTAAGTTAACACTAAAAGCAGCAGATTGAGGGCTGTCTGTCAAAGTTAGCGGGTGAAGAGCACAAAAGTGAGACTTTTTGTCGAGGTTTAATGGTGTTTTTCATCGAGTCAGAAGGTGAGATTTGTACACTTTTTCTTCGAATCCTTAATTTGCATTCTAATAAACAAACACACGACGACAAAATCTCCTTAAAAATCCTGGAAATCAACAAATTAAACTTTTTTTTATTCTGCACAGGAGGATTATCTCTGCCACAAGCAACAAAACTCACAAGAATTTCAATCAGGATTATACCCTAAAACATCACTCACTAACAAATCCTAGAAAAGAGACTGAGATAACGCTGAAAAATAACGTGTCATGTAAACTTTATTTTTCAGCCACTTGCGCATGTTTAACTCCAGGACAAAATGAAGTAAATAAGAGTTTTACTCGCTCAGTTGCTGTTTCAAACTTTGCTTAAATGTGGATCTCTCCGTGACCTCTTTAGAGGGACAAAGGAGGCTGCAGATCGATTCGTTACACCTTTTTAGTGAAGGCTTCAGCTGAAGGGGAGGGGCTCTGAATCCACCAGAGGCTCCATTAATAGCCAACTCTCCATCCTAACTATTATCCCGCATAAAGTGTTTATAAAAGGGAACACAACTGGGCTAATGTTGGCTCAAATCAGACAGGATGATATAGGCTACCAGAGAGAGAGAGAGAGAGAGAGAGAGAGAGCGAGGGGAGTAAGAGAAAAGAGAGAGAGGGGATTTAAAGTTTTCCTCCTTTTTTAACAGGACTGGCTAAAAAGAACATCAAACCCCTCTTTTGAGTCTGGCTAAACCCGGATAAAAGTGGATTACAAACTTTCAGGAAAACCCTCCAGCCAGTTCAGGTTGAAGAGAGAAAGGTGAGTTTCTTGTTTTACCTCTTAAACTTCACTGTAGTGTCTCCTCGTAACACACAGCTTTGAGGTTGAGTTTTCACGCACTCCTTACTGTCTGCATAAGCTGATATTGTGCGCACAGATTGAAGGTGTTCGGGGTCGGTTGTTATTCAGTCAAAGACAGACCAAGGACCGCCCCAACATCTGTCCGTCCCTGTCTGTCAGAGCGGCCCGCGCGCTGATTGATGGAGCCCACTTACGTCACCACTATTTCCATCCACGAGGACAGCAGACAGGAAGAGCTGCAGCTTCTAAATGAGCACTTATTAGCTTTAAAGTATGCACGATTAATTTCTATACAAATACAGCAAATAAACAGTCCGCATGTCAAATGAAAACTGCTCTTTTAACTTGGGCTCTGACGCACTTTTGAAAAGTGTTGTTGCACTTTTTAAATGATGTTTTCTACTGCAAAGTCAGATGCAACTGAACAGTGCAGGACCATGTTATAACGCATCTGAATCTTGACATTACTGTGTGCATATCAGCTCATGTGCAGCCCTGTAAACAATTTATTTTAGGACTTAGAAAATAAACTATAAAAAGTGCAGTTAGGAAAATAAGACATAACCCGTAAGACTCAAATTGCATAATTTTGCTCTCTTCCTTGCTCCAAAGCTGATTTTAATGTAGAACTGCATGACTAAAAACTAGAAACAAAAATGAACCCACTTTTTACAATTCATGATTTACTTTTAATGCAGAAATGGGAGTTTTTCTGTCCTGGTTTTTAGAGTAAGGCGCCTGTTTTGCTCACACACACACAAACACACACACACACACACACACACACACACACACACACACACACACACACACACACACACACACACACAGAGCATTGACAGCAAAGCAGCTTGTGCAGGGTCTGATCCTGGACCAGCAGGGGGGGACATGTGGCTCAAGAGTCAGGTATACAGTCTGTCCATGCTTCAAGATAACTCTAAGTGCACTGATATGTATATATTTTTATGTATCTTTTAACTCAAAATCACGTTTTTTATTTCAATGAGCATCATTTGACACACACTCACTGCAGTTTTTGGATATTATTTGTCTTAAAAAGTGTATAAAATTTCTCTCCTTCTCCTTACAAGTCGCAGAAATAACACTAATTTTTGTATAGCAGACAGGACTTGCTACACTGTCCTTTCAGCCTCATGACACAGTCTATATTAACAATGTCTTCGGTTCACATTTACTTCTAATTTCCAGCAGCAGCCATGTGTGATCAGGGCGTTATGATCCAAATTGCTCGCTACAGTAGTCACATTCCCCGTAATGCCACCACCCGTGTCCGTGTTCATGTAAGACAAAAGCTGAACACACAAACAGTTGTTTCCCTCCCAGCCCCCAGCATGTATACATGAAGCCCCTCTCCCACATACTGAGGCATTGTGACAGCGTGATGACATGTCAGCCTGTTTCCTTCTCTGCTGTGTGACGATCCTCAAACAGACATCATGCATGTAGTCCTCGAGTATATTTACATACATTATTTTCCACTTCTCTTTGTCTTTTTTCAGGTCTGACTGTAGGATCTGAGGGACAATTGTTTGAGAAATAATCAGGGTGATTCTGCAGAAGAGCCAAATAAGGTGAGGGACTTTGAAAAGTTTGGAAACTAAATCATAGCACAAACACTTCACTTGGAAAAAAAATTGACATAAAATGCTAACATGGTGTTCCCATGAGAATACAACTAAATACTGTGAAGAATATGACACCGTTTAATGCGGCAATCTTGCAAACTGGTGTGATTAAATAGGAGTTAGATGCAATTTTGATTACACCTGCATGCAAAATATGAATGATGCATATAATAGCAGGTGTGTTTTCAACACTTTGAATGTGCCAATTAAATATTCAAATATTTTGTTGATAATTTAATGAAAAATAAAATTCAAATCAAATATGGTCCTCGAGGTTAGTGTGTTCTCATTTTGTCGAGATTTTTGCACGATCTTTGCACATCAAAAACAAAACATGCAGCGTCTTTTCTATTTTTTGTCACATTTAGTTTTATTTAAGTGCAGCACCTTAACTAGTTTAATCACCACTGCTGCTAAATCCTTTTGCAGGAACCATTACAGCAAACTTACACACTGCATCGTGACTTTCTGTCCTTGTTTGACACCTGCGCACATGTTGAAAAACAGCTCTGATGCTGCAGAGAGAAGTTTTTTCAATATTAAAAAATATAATGCATCAAATTTAGGTCATTGTCAGTTTGTTTGATTTAACAAAATTGATACATTTCAGTCACTTGCAAAGATGCATTTTGAATTCTCTAAGTTGTACTGAATTGGATCAAGTAAAATCATCATGACATAAACCGAGATTTTAATGCCTACCTCTTAACATTCATGAATTATTAATGCTGTGCTGCATATTTTGGCCTGTGGCTAACCACATGAGTTATTTTGCTGCCGTAAACCTCTGATGTCAAAAGGTACGAGCTCCCCAGGCGTGCAAGCACCACACGTTTTCTGTAAGTGGTCTTTGGTATTTAACGTCTTTGTCTGACAGAACTCCTCTTCTTCGATATTTTAATGTTTGCAGTATCTAGAAAAAAAAATCCTTTTCCCTCAGTGTCAATTTCAAAGAAGTGAGATCTGTACGATTGCGATAATACTTCTCTTCATAATCTGGAGTAATCTTCAATCAATGATAGGTCCTATCAGATTCTGCAGACTCATTGACAGCCTGAATATAAGAATATATCATAAGAAATTAATAAAGAAGAAGCTCTAACTTTGACATGAGCTATATCTCTACATCGCACAGATAAGACTGCATAATTAAAATGCCAAGAGTGAGTGTGCAGAGAGAAAGAGTGAGAGGGGTTTGATATTTTATAGAGATTTACTTTAGATTTTAAAGAGAAAAAAATGTGTTGCTGTACTTTTGACAATGCAATTAAAGGTTTGTAATCCCCACCTGAGTTTTTTATTTTATTTTGTCAGTTTGGGCGAAGGATGTGCTGAAATGCTGTGCAGCCGAGACAGATGCAGGTTTATTAAAGGGCTGAAGTCTCACAGGGATCTGCTGTTATTTTTCAGCATTGAGAAGCTGAAAGCAGAGGGGAAACTTCAGCTTGTTTACATGAACTGTGAAATAATTGTTCAGCTGAGTACATACAGAGCATCAAGAAGCAAAGAAAGCTTTTATTCTCTGCCAAAAAAAAGGCCAAACTTTTCCGAGATTTCCTGCACCCTCGCTAAATATCTCCCCCAACTCGGCGAAATAAAGTGACATATTTCATATCTCAGAAACACCAGCCTCCCTGACATGCACGCTCCTTCCCTCTCCTCCTCCCTCTGCCTTTTGTTTTCTCTGACACGTGCTCTCCAATTAGCATTTTTCAGCCATTAAGGAGGAGAGAGAAGCAGCCAAATGTTTGTCTCACCAAGATCCTTTTTCCCCCTACAAGACTCTCTGAGCCAATGTTCAGAAAAATAAATTAATAAAACAGCAAGACAGACTCAATATTATCCTCAATGTTAACATGATCTTCTTCACATAACAATTACCCAAAGCTTTGTGTGGGAAAGTGACGTGACAAAGCAGCCAGCGTTTACGAGAGCTGATGACAGTCTGCGTTTGGAGCAATTAAAATGATTAAAATTAGTTCTTATGAGAGAACACAAGAACTAGGATTATTTTCTTCCTCTGTGACATCCACTTAAACATTTTCATTTTGTAAATATTTCCACTCCTCAGATAAAGAAATAGATATGCGTGCACAAAAGGAGTTTTCTCCAACCTTTTGTGTCTCCTGAGGATTACATGCAAAAACTGAATCGCTCTGTGTGGTTTTTTGGTGAAGCTGCAGTTAGAAGTCGAGATTTTTTGCCATCAGTCCTCTTACATGTCAAATTAGCACGTCCTAATCTTCAGCTGTATTCCTACATTTAAATCTGCAAATCCCAAACTGCTCAGATCCTCTGCTGCAGACTGTAGCAGCAGAAATCTGTCACTGCTGCTGTGCTGTACATTAAGGGTGAAAATGCCTCTAAAAAGGTGCTTTTGTGACATTAAAATGACTTGTGTGCACAGCGCATGTCGATGCGTGTACTTTGAGGCGTATATTTATGAATAGGAACCTTTAATTAGGGCTTGTGTTTCCTCCCTAGTCAAATTGAGGGATGGTCCTCGCCGACATTCATTAATGATAATCACCAAGAGCGATGGCGTAGCTACAGGCCAAGTCTCAGGGGAGCCGACACTTGAAAAGAAGCATTAAATTACACAGAGGGACTCTTTAATTGCAAAAAGGAAAATATATAGCCATCATTGTTAAATATGATCTTTTGTAAGCCGTTACTGGTTCAAGGATTTGTCTAAGGTTTGCTTATCCTCAAACGCTTTCAAAGGAACCTGCAGCTACATTTCAGCGAGTAATGCACCACAGGGCCCTTTTTGAAAACACTTACTGTTACCCTGATGGGTTTCTTTCTGCACACCAAGCAAAAGCTGCACGATTTATATGTTCCCACTTTTTCATAGATTTCACAGGAAATCAAATACTAGATGTATGTCAAACTAGATCCACAGTTAAAAATGCGATTAAAAAAAAAAAGATTATCTGCAGGTAGTTTGGAAATAAAGTAACTGGTTAATTGAGCCTTGGTCTGTTTGACACATACAGGCTTTTGGTTCCGCTATCACATATTGGTGTTACTGAAGCTGTGTGATATCAGACGGGACCCAATGCACAAGTTTTACAGCTTTGGGAACAATAAACTTGAAAAATAAAAAGGTGATAATTATCTAAGCCGGATAACTTTACTGAATAATAACACCGGGCTTTCATGAAAAAATGTTCATATTTCACCATGCTTACATTCAGAATGTCTATGCTTACATTCTGTAATCATAGAGGCTGATGTAAAAGGACAACGTCAGAGCAGGATGGTTTAATGTTTAAGGGTCAATAACAAACTATAAGTGAGAACTAGGGCCAACAGGATTGTATTTGAAGTTCTGACATTAAAATGTCAAAATTCTGTGAAGAAGGTCAGAATTTTAATCTCATATTCTAAGATCATCTAAGATCTTCTAAGATCATAGTCAGAATTCTCAGATTAGAGCCAGAATTCTAGGCTTTAAATCAGAAATTTGGATTGAATCAGAGTTCTAAATTAACCCCTGAGAATTTTAAGATTCAGGTCCACATTTGAGGAAATTCTGAGATTTGAGTCAGTCTTCTGACTTTTAAAGTTAGAGTCCTGGAAATGAATTCAAAACTTTGATTTTTCTAAAGACTTCTATGAATTACACCAGAATTGTGGAATGAAAAGCAGAATACTGAATTCTAAGAGTCAGAATGCAGAAGTTTATGTCAAAGTTCTGGGATTAAAGTCAGAATTCAAAGATCAGAGTAAAAAAATCTAAAGTTAAACTCAGTTTCCTGACTTTTATCTAAAAGTTCCAAGAACAAAATCAGATCTCACAATTTTGTCTTTGATCCTAAAATTCTAAATCAGGACATAAAAAAATTCAGCAGTGACGCTGATCCTATCACTGACAAAACTGTGCGATAGCCACCGAGATAGACTTAGGTTTCTGATCATATTTAGCTGTTGCTACATACCTTATTTATTCACATATTTGGTTTGATTTGCCCCGCTGTCACACTGAATCTTTTGTCCTATGGCTAAGGTGAAGGAGTTAAAGACAGACTGAATTACTTGAAGTTGAGAGCTGCTCTTTGGGAAATAGATGGGCTGAATACACACAGTTGCGCTCATACACTCCTAAAACTCCTGACCTAATTGCTCGTTCTCACTCAACTAATTAATCACAGCTGACGTAACATAGTGACAAGGTTAGGTAGGTGACATTCCCCAAAAACTACCTCTCTTTCTGCATATTCCTCACGGCAGGACTTTTTCAGCTTACTGCCTTGTCCTTGCTTTTTTCTATTTCATGTATTTTTTTATTCTACTTCCCCTCCTCTTCTTCCTCCTCTCTCTCTCTCTCTCTCTCACTCACTCACTCCCTCTCTTTTCTGTCTTTCATTGCTTCATTTGCCCAGTCCTCATTTTTCCCCCCTCACTTATTCTTGTCTTTCTTGTCTTCAAATCGCACTTTTTTTCTGTTTTTCTCTCTCGTTTGAATCCAAGTGGGGAGCATAACTTAGCTCACATCTATTTTTACCTGTTATCAGGTCTCGTGTTGGAGGAGGGGGGTCTTTGCAGAGGTGAGAGTGGGCATGCTAGGAGAGAAGGAGGGTTTGGGGCGGGGTCACAATGCTTCATTAATCAAAAAGAATGACACTCATGTCGTCCCTGACAACCATCCTGCCAGCCTCATGTCTCTCCCCTCCTCCTTCATCCCACTCAAACAGGACAAGTTTAGTGGCAGGGAGGGAGGGGGAGAACGAAAGAAGGAGAGAGAGAGAGGGGGAAGGGGGGTTTATTAATCAAGCATCTCAGATTAATTGTTATGAAGTGTCAACTGTAAATTCTCCATTTGGATTTAATAATCTTGGAGGTAGACTTAACAATCTCTGTCGTGATTTGAGTTTTATTGAAGAGGCTGCGTAAAGGAGGGAGAAAGGGAGAGAGATGTATGACACAAATAGCTTCTCAGCGGACAGTCCCTCTCTGTGTGACAGTTATGAAATACAATTATCAGCCAGATCTGCTTAAGAATTCATCAACTGCACCCCTGCTTTCCAAAGAGAGAAAAAAACCCTACATACAAAAGCTAGTCTTAACTGATAAGACTCCTCTTTTCTCTGCAGCCCTTAAACTATCATTTCAATTTCTCGCCATCTCCGACATGTTAAGTCGCTGTAAAGGTGCTCTATATTGCTTTGAAAGGCCCTCACGCTGTATATTAAAGCATAAATCACCAGGTAATCAGGGAATATGGTAAATGACACACTGCATGCAAATCAGCCTGATAGTGAGTAGTTTGTTTGAAATGTATTACCCGTTGCTTTGCATCAGGGTCAGTAATAGCAGTTAATCTCCTTCGGCGGTGAAAATATACTGTCACCGAATCGTACGGCGCCCTGTCAGCGCTCAAAAGTAACCGAATCATAAAACGCAAATGATTTCAATCAATTGTCGTCTAATTGCAGTCATATCTTTTGAAATAAACGAAGAACAGCCACTATGTAGGTTGACAGTGTGCATAAAATTAGCATAGCTTAGCATATTGCAACAGCATTAATGTTAGTTTTATTGAAAGCTCAGGTTCTCCTGATATTTCATATTTTGGCATGCTACTCTTAAAGGAACAAGAACAAAATGAGCCACCTGAAAATGACAGAACTGGAAACTTTCATTAAGATGTTTTAACCAAACAGGGTTAATTTCGTCCTCGGAGTGCTGCGTTTGGCCTGGTTTCTATCCAGGAACATTTAGTCTGATCCAGAGAAGCTCTTTCCTAGGAAAAGTAATCTGTGCTGACAAAAGACAGATCTGAGGGATAGAAAAGGCCTCTGTCTCTGCTCCCAGTAATAATGGGAAGTCTTTATGTGACAATTTTGGGGAAAAGCTGCAGGAGTTAAACATGTGCCTTTAACTACACGTCCCCCTCCGCCAGATATCATCCTGATCAATGACGCCGCCGCTCGGTGAGGAATGACGTTAGCCGGAGACGCTGTAAATGTTTTAGCTATCAACACTGCTTCATCCTCCGTCACACAACACCACGGACGATCTTTCACTGACACTACACGGAGGCCTCGCCCTGGTTCAGTCCCAACACATCTTCTCTCATCAGTAATTGCAGACGTCTGCTGGTGACGTGCGACTTCTGAGCAGTTCCTTCACTTCGGGCTCATCTGTTTCGGTGAGGCGGGAGCGCTAATTCAATGAGATGGTGGAGAAATTTCCAAATAGTGTTGTGACAGTTGAGCACGGCAGGAGGCCAGACTCTAGGCCGCCCCTTAGTGTGTTTACATGCACTGTAAAAATGTGATTAAGACTGGAGGAGTGCAACACAAATTAACAACTATCTATTATGTAAACCATTCAGATCTATTACATGAATGAAGCTTGTAATCAGGGGATGTAAAACTTGATTAAAGGAGCACGATTAAACATCTCTTTCATATTCCTCCTGTCAATTAATCACTCTGTTAATAGAGCAGTGTAAAGTAGTTTGACACAAGTGATGGGTGTAAGGACAGCTCACTCTGCAATAGATCAGACAGTGTGTGAACTGGCAGCATACAGCAGACCAGACTTAGCAGGAGTTAAGGATTCAGTTCACACACAGTGGTGTACTCGAAAAGGGGGCTGGGGGGCTCACCGATCTTCTTAAATGCTACTTTGGTAAATGATGATTATTAAAACGCCCTCTCTAGTGCCTTCTTTGTGCAAAATGCATCAAAACATACCACCTTATCAATAAAAAAAGGAAGCGGGTAGTAGCAAAACCTGGTCTTATGAGAGGGCATGCTAGACAGGGTGAAGCTGTCACATCGTATGTCTAGAAGTCACACAGCTGTAAAGTTGTCTGTGTCTTGCTAACGTGTTTGTCGATTGTTTTGGTAAGCGATATAATAGCTCAACCAGGGCAGCCCAATAGAAATGCTCCCACACTGCGCTCAGTCAAACCAACCACACTGTCTGGGCAGCGTCATGTGGTTACAGCGACTGCTCTTAGTGGCAGTGCTGACTCAAACAAACGTCGACCAATGACCAGCCAGAACAGAAAACAGACATCCAACCTCTTTCATTGTCTCTCTCACCACATAAACAATTGAGAAAGACCCAATTTATGCGGTCTCGAGGTTTCAGCTTTTGCTTTGGTGTTCATATGATATAATGTTTCACAAGAAGGCGCCCAGTGTGAGCAGCAGGCGAGACAGTGAGCGGTCCAGCATGTTGTTTTTTACATGAGAGGAATGAATCAGGACTGAAGAAGAAAAAGACGAGCCCTGACGCAAGAGAGAGAGGGAGAGGGAGACTATGATGTGTTGCCATGGTTATGCAGACGCTGTGCAAAGTATCGACAAACATGCACGTTAGGCAAAAGAATCAGTATGAGGAGCAAAAATGCACCTGATGATAATTTGTTTGCTGAAAATATTGTTCAATGTTGGAAAAATACAAGAATGGATGATCCAAGCCTCCACCCAGCTGCCCCCCCACTCTATGCATCTGCCCCTGTGGTCAAGGACACCCATATCAGTGGACGTCAGGGTGGGCCCAATCCATCAGAGAGCTGTGGGTAATGGAATCAACCGGTGACAATGATCATCAGCACCGCAAACAATGGCCCATAAACATCCCCTGACAAGTGGTCAAATGCAGGCGAGGCAGGGTGGGGGTTGGGCAGAGGAGGGTATGAGGGATTGTTTGCAGCCATGAGAGTGTGTTTATGTCTGCAGACACGTTTGTGAGTCAGTCAGACTGGCTGTAACACAAGGCAAAGCGATGTGGCGAAGTAGCTACGAAGAAAGACATCTGGATGTGCTACCTCTGGAAACAAATGTCCTTCATAGGTCAGAGTTCAGGCATGCCGCAGCTCATTGTTGAGAGTTTACTTTCCCTCACTTCTCTTTATTGTTTTCTTTAATATGGGTTTTATATCAGATCTCCCGGAGTGAGGGTGAAAGAAATTGCAGAGAAAGATTTATGTCTGCACCTTTACCTTTTCTTATTCAGTGTAGGAAATTACAAAACGGATAGACTTGAACCCGGATTAAACACTCCTTGTTCAAGCCTAAAACCGCTTGCTTTTGCTGAAATAGTAAAGTAAGAGTCTCTTTTGTCAGCGCTAAATAAATAAAAAAACCCAATTAGAGAGAAGTTACAGATTTCAAAGAAAGCAGGAAGGAGACTTTTCTCTCTTTTTTTTTTCATGCCGAGTTTCCATCGCAAGAAGTAGTTGTTGCTTTTGTCAAGCCTGGTGTTTCGTCACTCCAGTTTACTTGTCAGCTGGTTTCCGTCTCTACAACACACACACACACACGCACGCACACATTTAATTAGCCATCATTTGTCTCAGCTTTCCCTCTTTTTCCACTGTTTATCCAAACGTCAGGAATGACACGGGCCAATTAGTGCAATGAAATAGTTTAACCCTCTCTAACACTTGGAACAGTGAAAACCAACGGGGATATTTGCTCACAGCTCAAGGACGTGTTTGTGTGTGTGTGTGTGTGTGTGTGTGTCGGTGTTTGTGTGTGCTGAGGTGTGAAATAGGGGTTCAAACAAAGAGAAAGCACAACTGGAAAAATTTGGTTTACACTTGATATAAACCCACCACATATTAAGCCTCACAAGCACATGTACAAAACCTGTGCAAACCTGTATATGTGTGAAAAAAACGGTTCATTTCAAAACAGTTTTAAAACCTGCTATTTGAGTACAAAGGTTCAACCAAAGTGCTCTTAATACTGTTAAGTTGAGCTTTTTTGTTTTTTTGGCACCAGAGGGTCTTTAGTGCTTGTTCCTAAAAATAAAGAAACCATAAAATACAGTTTATGAATTCTTACAAATGCGTTGTAGATCATATAATTGGTAATTACCTTGAACTGCTGTCACGTTACAAATTCGCCTAAAGTCATGCCAAAGTATGTTGGAGAGCTGGGCGATCAATCGGGTTTCAATTTCAGGTACGAATATAGTCCCCCATGATCAGATTAGGTACCTCCTCCATTTCTACCTTAACAGCACAGTGTGTTCTCCACCTCTTTCACTTCAGCATCATGAGTTCAGATCAGTGTGCATCAAAGTTTGGGAGTGTGAGAAAGTTCGTGATTTAATTATGAACTACCATGCAGCTTCAGGTGGAGAGAGGAGAGGAGCAGGAGGAAGAAGGTGTGTGTCTGAAAAGCCAAGGGATGATAGAGAGGCTGGAGCAATCACAAGCCTGATTGAGCAAACACTTAACCTGAGTGCATATCATCATGAAATATAAGCTGTGATGAAATATAATTGGTAGTAGAGCAAAGATACTTTGGAGTTAAATTCCTACTTTCTTTTATTTAGTATTATCATCAAAATGAAGTCAAAAGCTCTGAATGAAGTGAAGAATTGACTCTTGGTCAGTAATGATGCAGCCCAAGCATGCTGTAAGAACCAAAGTGAATTTTTCTATACCACTCACAAATATTGCTACATGCTGTCATAAAACCATATAATTGCGTCTATAACACTTTAAATTCATGCGCCTCTGATGCATTGTAAGTGGTGGGTTTTATATAAAGTGTTTCTCTGTCATTCAATGGCTCAATATTATCCTATTTCAGGATCATCACACAAAAGAAGGCTTTGTTATTGGCACACATCACGAGATGGTGTGATCCAGATAATCATTATTTCATATTTTGTCATTAGCAGCGAGCTAAATTGACCCTGAGGTTGGCGAGCACTTCAGAAACGTAGAAATCCAGGGCAACAGCTGGATAATGGTTGCTGCAGAGTGATTTACTAATTGTCTCCAGGATTCAGATTAATAATTGGCAAAGCTTTAGCACAAGTGCACATCTAAGTACTCTTTGTCACTCACTTGTATCTGCAGGAAAAAAAAAAAAAAAGCGGGCTGAGACGATATCATTAACAGTCTCTCCAAATTGAAACAGTCATCAAGAGTGTCTTTTAAATGTCTCCGGGAGCTTCTTCTTTTTCTGTTGAGTGCAAATGACATCTCGCTCATTTTGCTGGTGGCAACATGACTGATGTGTTGAATAAGAAAGTCCGTTTTGACGCGTTTGAAGGCTGCGGGTTTTTTGAAGTATATGATTCTGAAGTGGCGGCATATGCTTAGCGAGATAAGTCATTTGACACGCAGACATCACAGCCCTGCAAATCTTTCGTCTGGCTGCCTTGAGTGTCCACGTCAGGCGCTTTTTCAAGAACACTTTACGACTGTCACAACTGACTGTCAGAGCGCAAACCACACAAGCAAACGAGCCTCATTTTGAACACAGATTAAGACAGCTGTCATATCAAAAAGTGTAAATTCATCCAGACTAAAAATACACTTAATTTCATCTTAGGCGCTTTAAAAATTAATTTCCTATTTAGGCACCAAAGAATTTTCCTTTTTAGCATCAGTTTGTTCATTAGAGTAATTAAATTAAGTGCTCATCCTCGGGAGGGAATCAAGATTTAACGCAGGATTTATTGAAAGCAACGCAGCAATAACACAGCCACTCCAGTGATGGAGAAGCTTCCCCTGCTGATACTTCTCCCCCTGAATAAGACATTTGACTGAGACACCAACACTACCATGCAGACAGAGTGTGCACACAAGTACGTGCTAACACACACAGATGGGGTCAGAGCTGCAAACAAAGTCGCTGACATTGTGGCACTTCTTTGGCAGCGTTGTGCAGGTGTCGTCTGCAAACAGGCTTCTGAATAAATGGATCTGAAATGATTTACCTAGGGTATCTGCCACCTGAGCACAGACACACACACACAACCCAGGCTACTTCCCCTCCTCTGCACAGACGCTGACGCAAACACACACCAAACACTGGGAGGGGAAAAAAAGAGAGGAATCTAGCAGAGCAGCATCCTATTGTGTCGTCCTGACTCACATTATCTGACAAATGCACAGATTTACCAACGTGAGCTTCATCCCAGAGGTTACACTCTGCTCCTGTGATTTGAGCTGATTTATACACATTTGTTTTCAGATATAATGGAAAATATGACTGAGGTGGCGCTAAGAATAGACCATCCTCTGACCTCAGCGTCTTCAGCTGGCTCTGCAGCATTATCAGGTGAAATATCCGCTATTATACACTAACAGCAAGCGACGGCTCCGCGGCGGCACAGAGGACGAGTGGCTCTGGGCGAGACATCCGGATCACAGCCGCTGATGTCACCTTTAAGCCGTCTGCAATCATCCCGGAGAAGGAAACACAACAATGTGGTTTTTTGGTGATAAAATGCAGTGTGTGAGTTCATAAATAACACATATGTCAACTGTTGTTGTTCAAGCTGAACATGCAAACATAAAACCAACCTGATATCAAGCTTCGTCTTTGTCTGATTATGAACAACATATTTTTTGACATAGACGGTAAAAATGTGGTGACTTAGAGGGTTTAGACAAAAGGTGAAGTCCATTTTTGGCCATTTTTTTATGAATGGCTGACTCATATTTTTACCTAAATTTTCCAGCTCCAGAGTATCGCCTTTATTTTCCAGTGTGCCTGTTTACAAGCTAATTTTCTACTTTGACTTTTGAACCTTGACTATTTTATTTGATGGACAGTTGAAAAATATTTGGGTGGAAAGAGAAGGGCGTGACATGCAGCAAAAGGCAGTTAAAGCCTGCCGCCGTCTCTCCTGACTGGATGCTTGCTTTAACAACACAACAAATCTGGCGCCACACAAACAAAACTATAAATTTCATCAGATTAGTGCGGCTTTCATGTGAGTGTGCATGAGTCATTTTGCAACCACAGTTTATTTTATGTTTAACCTTTTTTAAACAGGTGCTAAAGCCCGTTCAACTACCCTGAATAAGTTTACCCTCCTGAGAAATAAGGCTGGTGCAGAAATGCTACACTGCAGTTCCTTGAGGGTCCACTTGAGGCTGCACCAAATAAAAATCAGAAAAGCTGAATGGAAGAGCGTCTTCAGTGTAAGTGTTTTTTTTCACAGCGTAGTGACACAACCCACGGTCCACATGATCTGTTTACCTGATCAAAACAAACCGTGTTAGCAACTGAAGGGGCGGCTGAGCTGAAATAACAAACTCTATACACATCACTGTGTCCGCCGGTTATTTTAGACTTTTGTTTCTTATTATTATGCACCACTGAGATGCTAAAATAAGAAAACTCCAAATGCATCAGTGATTGGTAACATCATAGAGCATGTATGTGCATCTGCAAACCAGTGTTTAAGGTGTGTTTGGGTCAGAGTCTCCTTAAAATTAGCTTGATTAAGAGGCAGAATTGGCCCTATCTGCAGAAAACTGTAGCATATCTAGCATCCTGTTTCTGCCTGCAGTTTCTCAGTAAAGTGTTTAAAAATATCAAATCAGTTTAGTTTATCATGAAAGTTGTAGAGTAAGGTGCAGAATTACTTAAGATGAAAGAAATAAGTATAAAAAAGGGGGTGTTCTTTATTCCCTGGTCCCGGCACTCAAAGGGTTAACAGTCTGACTCTTCAGCTCTGATGGGAAACACCTCCACAGCAGATGGGGGAAAAGTTGACACTGATGCAAAGGAGAGAAACAATAAAGTCAGGAGGTGAAAATGGAGGCGTCACAGAGATACATCATAATCCAACCTCTCTGACACTCTGGAGGTTCTGACCTTACAGGCTGCCGGGATGTCAGAGCAGCCGATCCAGGGCTGGGAGACTGGGCTGGTCTGGTCTGAGTGGATGATACAAGTAAATTTGACGTGTTTTTTTTTTAAAAACCTTTTAATGAATGCTCAATTAAAGCAAATTTCTGAGACAGACAAACTGAGTTATGAAGAATGTGTTAAATTTGATTCATGTAATAGACAGTGAACACTCAGAAGTTCTTGTAAGCTTTGCAGTAATGACACAGTTGCACATTCCCTGTTCGCCTCCTCTCTCACAGTGGTGTTAACTCATCTGCTCTCCACACAGTCCAATTTAAAAGCTGTGACCGAGAACAGGAATATCATTACAGCTGCATTAAAAAATATTATTGACCTTTCCTTGGTTTTTGCGAGTCGACATCAAACCCAACTTTTTAAAGTCTCGCCCCATGTAGAGTGCTATTAACATATGCCTCTCTTAATAAATTATCTTCTGGAAAAAATGAAGCACAACTCCAGAATTTTATGAGCCTGTAAAGGTGAAGGCCATGCATATTAAGTTTTTCATGCACGGTGAACTTTGGAGGTCTGCTACAGGAGGTTATATATTTAATTTCTGCAGGGATCCTTGAGTCGTATATTTTCAACATTTTACTCAAGCTTTAACAGTGATAGTCTTGTGGACTTTGAGGATGTGAAACTAGGATAATCTTGCAACAAGGTGCAAAGGTCAGACAGACTGACTGGAAAATAAAAGGAGGTATACTGCAGCTATGACAAACCTTAAGAAAAATATGAGGCGAGTGATGTTAGTTATAATTTCTAAGCCATTCATTGAAAAGACTTAAAAACACACCTCAAAAATGTGACCAATCAAGTGTTTTTTTTTTGCCATTCTTTCTTACAAATAAAAATTTGCACATGAGCTGAGCAATGTTTACTTTAGTTTCTTAAATGAAGATGTTATTTAAATTTTCATTTCTGTGCAGTAATAAGAAAATTTAAATAATTCTCTCTAACTTTGAACTGCAGGTACAGGTTTTTTTTTTTTATCTGCAACTGTTCAACATCTTTCATCAGTTTGTTGAAATGAAATGTCTGAAGTCTTATTTTTCAAATCTGCCTCATGTACAGTAAAGAAGCTGTTTAATGTTTGCTCTGGTCTTTGTACTGTCGCATTGTTATCAGTCTCATTAACTTCTTTGAATCAGTGTAATCCACCCTGTTTTCCTGGATTTTAGGGCAGAAATGCTCAACTGACGCAGTTTCATATGAGTAATATTTGAAGTGTTTTCAAAATGTGGGATAAAAGCAGATGTTACGTCACAGAAAAGTTTTGCTCATTTCTATCTAATAGATTCAGTTTATGAACTGATTTAAAAACATAAAGACTGACAACATGCTGGTTAAAAACGTCTGTGTTAGCAGGACGGCTGTAAAGTTTCAGAAACAATACTGACATCACCTAGAGGAGCGTCATCTGTGAGCCGGTTTAAAAAAGGAAACGTTTATGGCGGTGAGAGAAAGACAGAGAGCGAGCTTATAACATTAACAAGTACTACCCACTGTGATTCAAATAAAAAATCACAGCAGGGCATCTTTGCTCAGAGACGAAGCATGTGGTCCGTCGGTGCTCTGCAGACTTTGAAACACTGAGAGGCTTCTGCTGGAAACAGATTTGACTTCGAATGTGCTCAGTCACTCATTTCCACTCATCACCAGTGTTTTTAGGGCTGGTGTATTTTATCATAGGCTCTAAGAGTAATGAATGATAAAGTGACAAAGATCAACACATCAGGTTTTAATCATCATAATCGTCTCCTTACATGTTAACTGAGCTTATTAGGAAATCTCTGAAAAGTCAGACTGAAATTTGCTGCACCTTGTGAAAATCTTTTCGTGTAAAAAACGATGAGAAATTGGAGTGATGTGGAGATAGGAAAACATGCCCCAGAAAGCAATTATCACAAGAAATGGAGCAAAATGATTTCACATTCTCCTGCATGCAGAGGATGTCGTGCAGGTTTAAATTAACTCCATCAGTAAACCAGATGATTACATTCAGTAAACAGCCGCAGTGTGGCGAGGCTCCCAGCAAACTGCTCGCTTCTTTTACTCTCAGATTATTTTTCCTGCTTTTGAATACAAAAAGATTAAATATACAGGTACTGCTGAATGTATGCTGTTTACACTTTAATCTCTAAGTGCATTTACCTAAGGCTGATGGTGCAAATACATCAGTTAAAGCTCCTATAAGGACTTTTTTCACACACATGAAATCGACCGAAATTATGTTGGTGCATTTTCATAATATCTAAACACAAACATGACCATCAGCAACAAGAGTGAGGATTTTTACAGTTTAATTTTTTAATGCAAAAGAATCTGTGTAAAGGGGAAGCTGTCAGCAGAGCAGCTGGAAAAACAGCCCTGTTTTTAAAATTTCTACATATATATTCACAATAAAGGCTCAATTTGATTATAAGTTAGATTACTTTCATCAAAAGACACTAAGCCTGCAAAGGGCAAGATAAGGAAAGACTTTCTTGAAGACTCCAAAAACAGGCAACTGGACTGTGTAGAGTTGCCTGTTTTTGGAGTCTCCAAGAAAACCATGACCTGGATGAATGAGAATCTACATGGACATAAGGAAAGACTGTTTGTCCACAGGGGGCGCCAAAACTAACACCAACAGAAAATTCCTCACAGGAGCTTTTACAGTTAACCAGCTCCATCACTGATAGACCAAATGAACAACAATATTCTACTCCAGAATAATGGACAGATAATTGACTAAACCCCCCCCCCCCAAAAAAAAATAAAAAATAAAGAAATATTTTACCAATTAAGCATCTGCAGCTTTAAAAAGCACGAACACTCATAAAACTGTAATTTGTTTGCTGAATATTTGGCTAAATATCATGACTCAAACACCCACATACATGGAGAGAACCGGATCCTAAAATTGGTACCAAGGGGTGCCCAAAGAGTGCCAAGAAAATATTCTCCACACCATGACACCACCACCACCAGCCTGAACCGTTGATACAAGCAGCAGGATGGATCCATGTTTTCATGTTATTGACGCTGTACCTGACTCTCTAAAACCATCCGTTATTAGCCTGTCGCAGCAGAAATCGAGACCTATCAGACCTTATTACACCCCTGCAAGTTCACAAGAGCAGGTTGAAGCAGCACTGTTAACCACAGTTACTCGCAGCATCCATGCAGGATGTATGTGGAGTTTCGTAAATTCCTCTCTGGCTGCCGCAAGACACGGTGCAGTTCACTATACTGCCTAGATTTACCAGAACGCGTTGGTTTTGGCCATAGACTGTATATACTATAGACAACTTCGCTCCGCCTTCCGTCATTATATGAATTTGAAGCCGAATTGCTCTTAGTATTTACAGGATTTTCTCCACTTCCTGAAACCACCACTTGCACAGTAGTGTTGTATGCATTCAGCAGGAGAGTCGCTGTGATGACAAACAGCGATCAAACAGCATATCATAGGCTGTATCAAGTGTCAATCATAGAAAACATGAACCCCTAATAACTTTTTAAAAATGGAGCTGTACAGAAAAAAGAGGATCTGAGCACAAACCAGTCTTACAGTAACTACAGGGGGGAGAAAAGTATACAATCTGTGTAATTAATTTCTAAAGTTTGTCCGCAGCTCCATAGGGATTGCTTGAGGAGGCATAAACTATGACCTATACTGCAGCCCGTCACCAGAGGGTGCTGTTGTGGCGGCGGCTTCACACAGCGAGGTGGCAGATGGCGTCCATTCTATTTACAGTCTATGATTTTAGCACATCCATCCTCCACACAGTGGTGTGACGTCTGGCCAATCAGTGAGTGTTGTGGGAGGGGCATTAGGTTGAATGACATGGTAGAGGAAAACAGACCCAAAGGGGGATACAAACTTTTAAATAAGCCAAATTTATCACCCATCTGTAAAATGAACGGCTGATATAGACAATCGACCAAGAATATCAGCCCCGATGATCTGACTACCTCTGCCAAAAAAATCGATAAAACTTATGAAGATTAATTGCAATGAAACTAATTCAGTTTTTGGTACATCTTTATCATGAAACTTTACCAACAGACCATCTGTTCAAAGGATATTTCTTATGTTTATCCAAATGCGGTGTAATTTGTAACACCCCTAGTATTGATGTCATTGGTGCAAGCTTGAAGGCACTAAAAAGAAAGAGGAGGATGACATGTAGGTATTTTTCTCAGATTTTACACACACCTCTGCCCACTTTCAAACCCAGAAACACAACACAGAGGTAAGTCTGCACTCTGAAATCAGCCTCGACAGCTGAATGACGTCAACAACATTTCTGTGGACTTGACCCTTTCCCAACAAGCACAAGCTGACACAAATATTGCTCGTTGTTGCCACTCAATGCATGACAGCTGACTGGACATGGAGCAAAAGTTTGGTTCTGTTTCTCTCTCTTCCTTATCCGCCTCTTACAACCGAAAAAACAAGCAAATTCAATGCACCAGAGGGGGGGGAAACGACACGCAACAATAGCATCCACCAATAGCACTGTCAAACAACGCCATCTTTCTCGGATGTTAAAAGCTTTAAGAGCTGAGGCCTCGGTGACACCCGTAGCCTCTGGATGTCAAAGATGGTTGAAGACTTGAGAGCAGGCCCTCTGTTTTAAAAATACTATGTGTGGGTGTGAGCGTGCGCACATCTCCCAGCAGCAAAAGTGACATTTGAGGGGCACTTTACAGAAGCCGGCGGTTGCTGGGGATCTTCTGTATCACCTAAAGAGCCTTTGTCAGTCATTGGAAAGCTGTCACCTTTCTG